ATATATAAATTAATTATATTATTTTAGGAGTTAATTTATTTAAATAAAATAGGTAGACAAGCAATAAAAGAAAATGTAAATAATAATTTTAACATTCTTTATTTATTTTCATTAAACAAAAAAAAATGATCCTATGAGCTGGCAGAAATAGTAAATCTCGTACACACATGCAGGAAAAGAAACAAAATGTTTCTATTCACAGGTGGAGTCATAGATCGGTAGGTGCTATACCATTTATCCTTTTCTCTCCTGCTATTAATATTCACTACTAAGGATCGATTCCACCGTTGTGTTAAACGAAGTTTAAAATGACATTTTTACATTAACAATGTCATTTTAACACATACTTTATTTTAATCTCCGTTTAACACAACGGTGGAATCGGCCTTAAGAAACATGCAAAGTGGCTATTTAGCTACAAATAAAAATTATTAGTCTAAACAAAAAAACGTAACAATATGAACAACGAAACCTAAAAAAACCGTTAAAACCGTTTGAAATATTAACGGTTCCGGTTCGGTTCTAAAAATTTATTTCTGGATAAAATAACGGTTCAGTTTCGATTCCGGTCCAATAAAACTTTTCGGTTCCGGTCCGGTTTTCTGTTTTTAACGGTACGGTCCGGGTCCCTGCTTCATATTACTGAAACAAGGCAAATCTTGTTTATATAAGTTCTGTTTATATCTTTAAATAATCTTTCCAAATAACACACGAGGTGAGAATTTATTCTGTTTTAAACACGTTGTTTTGTCATAAATTATGCAAATTTCACTCAACAAAATGCATGCTGCGTTTGAATATACACATTGAATGCATTTTTTACATCTCGAGCGATTGTATCTACATCGGACACATCTGTCCCATTATATTTACTGCCGCGTTTGAGAATCCCCATCGGATGCATTTTTACATCTCGAGCGTTTTTTTATCCACATCGGACACATCTGTCCCATTACATTTACGTATACTGAATCACGTGATCAAATAGATTTACTACATATCTGGGGACCTATTTTCAAAGTATGTGAGCACTCATTTCTCTCAAGATTCTCATCAGAAATGTCATACGTCAATGTGGAAACGCTGTATTTAAAGACATCGAGGATTAAAATTCTTAGGAGAATTTTAATTATCTCTAAATAAACCGAGAGAAACAGTCAGTGAGTTCACACTGGCCCTAAGAGCCCTAAAAATACGGTTTTACGTTGACGTATGACATTTCTCTTGATGGAAATGAATTCTCTCGAGTTTGAAAATAGCCCCCCTGGGGTGCTATTTTCAAAGTCGAGAGAATTCATTTCTCTCGAGAGAAATGTCATACGTCAACGTAAATCAGTATTTTTAGGGTCCTAAGGGCCAGTGTAAACTCACTGATTGTTTCTCACGGTTTATTTAGAGATAATTAATATCCTCCTAAGAATTTTAATCCTCGAGGCCTTTAAAAACAGCGTTTCCACATTGACGTATGACATTTCTGATGAGAATCTTGAGAGAAATGAGTACTCACACGGTTTGAAAATAGGTCCCCAGGGACCTATTTTCATTTGAAAGTAATCATTATGACAGCAGTGTTCTTCTTATTGTATTCGAATTCTAACACAAATAAAACATCTCATTAAATTTTTGTTAAAATTATTAATTTATTAATTTTACATTAGAAAGAAAATTAACAATACACACAAAATTATTTAAAATTAGAAATAAATACAATTTACACATTTCCCATTATTACACTTTTACTTACTTAATTTATTCATTTCTTATATTAATAATTTAAATTAATAATATAGTTCATTATTTCATTGGAACTCATTTTATAATTTTACTAATTATTTTTTTATATTTATTTGTGGAAAATTAAATATTAAATAAAAGCATAGGAATTGTTCTATTAGATAATAGCAGTAATGAAAAAATTAGTAGGAAAATTTCAAATGTATAGTTTCCAGATTTATTATGAGTTTTTCATATTAATGTACTCAATAAGTAGGTTTATTATGTTCGCTTGTACACATCACAGTTAGCAGCAGACAGTAACAAACCTGACAACACTTCCGATTTCAGAAAAAAACATTACAACAATTTGTTTTACATTATATATTTCAATAATGTAATATAATAATCATTTATATTTAATTAATGACAAGGTTTACTTTTTAAATAAAACTATATGAGCCCTGTCCCGTTTCAATTAGCACACTTCTCAAATTTATAGTGACTGTCACTACAAGAACAAATCATACATAAATCTGATAAATTACTTTTATTTTTTTAACCCTTTCACTTCCACTTTCATTAAAAAAAATACCATTGTAGTAGATTGTATGTTTTCTTTGTTTATTTTAAGTAAATTAAAATTTTTTCATAGTATTTTTTATTACTCCAAGACATAACGTCCCTGTTCAGGGACATTACAAAAACAAAAATTTACTATGAAAATAATTTTTTTATAATATTAATCCTTTCAAGTAATGCAAATAAAAGTAAATAAACCAAAAAGAAAAAATTTCTACCAAAATTAACAGATGTATACTTCAGGGTTAATTAAGACAGTGTCCCTCTGGAGGAACAAATACACTGAAAGGGTTAAATATTTACAAATTTTCATGAGTGTTTCATCACCTTTAACTTTGATAACGGCAATAATTCATTAAAACATTGTATTTACAAGTTCTTGAAAATCTTACGTGCAGGGAACCTACTCCATATTTCTAGATTACCCATTTGCTTTAATTCTGGCAGTGATCTTGTGGGTGCTGCACGCCTCTGCTTAAAAATTATCACCCCATATACAAAAAAGCATCTTTATTAAATGAACAAGAAACTAAAAAAAAAAAATAAGCATTATTAAAAACTACAAAAAGTGCATAATTTGAAAATCCATATTCAAGCTTGAGATTTGTAAAATTAAAAAAATTCCAAATACACATTTAACTTGTTCAATTATGTATTGAATAAAAGGTCTGTTCCAACAATGATCAGAAACAAACCACTGGGTAGTACACAATTTTGCAGTATTGATAAACTACTGTGCAGAATCCTGATGTCAGCAACTCATTTCTGAGCATTGTTGGAACAAACCTAAAGTAAATCGAAACCACTTAAAAACAAGCACAACATTTATACTCGAGCATAATTTTTAATTCCTATCAAAATTTTTAATTACTGAATATTTTGTTCTAGTTATATTAAAATTTAAAAGTTCTTACTCTTCATTATAATTATATTTTTTATTTTCCCTATATACCTACATACTATCTCTAACATTTTACAAATTTGATACCTAATTAAAGATGTCATCTAGCATTGCAGCATTTTTTAGAATATTTGAGAGAGCATAGTAGTAACTGCCAGTTAAAACTTTATTTCTAGTATTTAGTTTAGGTAACAGAGACAATGCTTGGAACAGAAAATACATACTTTTGTTAATTCAGAATTTTTAAATGTTGTTTTATATTATAAATCTTTCCAGGTATCGGGTATCCTATATCATTTTTTTTTTATAATTTTCAACCAAAACTGTTTAAAAACAAAAAGTTTAATAAAACACCCATTATATTTAATAAGGTTTATGCTCTAAAACTCACTGTTCTTTTAATGGCAGATTTTTTAACCTCTGAGTAAAGTTAGGTGTAAGTATAATCTATAGCCTAATCAGCAAGTAGTTACTTTCAACTTTATTCAGAGGTAAAAACCTGGCCTTTAATCTTAATATAATTGTGGAGGATGGAGACTACATTTGCTAGGGATTAGGGAATAACGAAGATCTGACTACTATAATGACACTTGCTAAAAACTGTATAAGTTTTATGTACATGCAGATAGACCTATGTGAATAACTTTAGTGCTTCGATAACACAACATTGATAATTAACAGATGAACATATTGGTCACAAAAACAAATTAAATAATATATTCTACCAATCTCATTTTTTCCAAAAAGTACAGTTACAACCTTGTTATTCTTTGAGATGTATTTATTACTGATACTTATTAATAAAAATAATAATAATTGATATTGGTACTTACTGATCTTTGGAAACATATATACTCCAGTCCAGTGAGACTTCATTATTCTGGTATAATGCTATTTCACAGAAATGTTTGTAATTCCAATCACTATGTATGGATTTGATTATAGTAGGTATAAAACTAAATGTTTATTGAATATCTTTAATCTGGGCAATGAAAATCACAAAATTCACTTTAAAAATAATAAGCTTCAATCTGAGTACCATAGTTAAGGTCCACTTCTTCATTTTATAATCAGTAACCCACTGTATCGCTGTTTTTGCCAAAGCCAAAGGTAATATTTGAACACAAAACAAAATCAGCTGTTTTTTATAAACACCCCCATTTCACTTATTTAGTAGCAAGTCTCTGGCAGCAACTTGTAACTTAATTGGAGCATATTTATTAAATCTTGAACACTTTTTTTTGATCGTATAAACTCACACATCAGTGCAGCTTGTTTAAAAAAAAACACTTATAAGCAACCATCAATAACAATAAACTCATTTGTTGACCATTAATTTTTTCATCTGTACTCCTTCTGATAGTTTTGTCATTTTTCATTTCATATAAACTCGAATTTTCACCATAGAAGAACTATTTTTATGATTGCACTTTTTTGACAGATAAAAAGATTGCCGCAATTTTCCGCCGTAACGACACTAGCGAACCTAGCGGATTTTGGCTAGGAAGTACGATCGGTTTTGGTATGTTTTTTTCAGGGAGTTGAAACACCTTTATAGTACGCCGTGGTTAGTGGTTAGTTTGGACAAAGTAACCGATATTTCGGTTAATATCGGACCGTACCCTAAAAATTGCCTAAATAATTAATTTTTTTACCAATTGACATTTGACATTGACAACCACAACCGACATTCGACATTTCATTTATTTTAGTGATATTTTTGACAAGTTCGTGTATCGTATTTTTCTTTAAATATTTGTATGTTATTGATAGGAATTCATTTGAACTAATTTCCATCCTAAAGATGGAATTATCAAGCATTCTTCCAGCTCCAATCCAACCCGTTTGGGACCGAGACGATGAGCGAAGAAGAAAAGCAGCTTCCCATCCCTCAAATATATTAGTAAGTGCTCAAAGTATTGCTCCTCCTTATGGACAACGCAGAGGCTGGGTTCCAAGAAATGTTACAGATTACGGAGATGGAGGCGCTTTTCCAGAAATACACGTCGCCCAATATCCTTTGGAAATGGGAAGAAAAAAGGATTCAACTTCCAACGCCTTAGCTGTACAGTTAGGGTCCGATGGCAAAGTTAAGTACGATGCAATTGCCAAACAAGGACATGGTAAAGATAAGATTGTATACTCGAAACTCTCTGATTTGTTACCAGTAGAAGTGGTAGATGAAAAGGACCCTAGCTTAGAGAAACCAGCACAGGAAGAAATAGATGATCTAACTGAAAGAACTAGACAAGCTTTAATGAGAATAACGAACTCGAAAATTGCAGCCGCTATGCCAGTTAGGGCTGCTGAAAAGTTAGCACCAGCTGAGTTTATTAGGTATACTCCTTCACAACAAGGTGCTGCCTTCAATTCTGGTGCTAAGCAAAGGGTTATTAGACTGGTGGAGGCTCAGGTTGATCCAATGGAACCTCCTAGATTTAAAATTAATAAAAAGATTCCAAGGGGGCCTCCTTCCCCACCTGCCCCTGTTCTTCATAGTCCTACCAGGAGGGTAACTGTTAAGGAACAGAAGGAGTGGAAGATTCCTCCTTGTATATCCAATTGGAAGAATGCAAAAGGTAAGATATGTATTGTAGAGAGTTCAATAGTGTTATTAAAGAAATAGGTAGGTAACCCTAATATACAAGCTAAGATACTTTACTCTGCACTCACATTTAGAATTTAAATATTATCCCCTGCCATTTTGACGGTTGTCTTTTTCTTTTAATTTTGAGGACAAGGAAAATCTATGTTTCACAAAAAATCTAAATTAATGGATATTTTTAGTCATTTATAAAAAAATTTCATTGCCCTGAAATATATTTTTGACAGCATCTCTGATGACTCAAATTGGCTTTTTCCTAGATTTGAAATATTCCTATATAACCCTGGCAACTATTAACAAGTTGGAGCAGCACATGCCTATTATTAGAACACTAAATTACAAGATTACCATTTCCTTCTTTTAATTTATTCCGATATCAAACTGTTTTTTAAATCCCTTAATTGATGAACTAGATTTAATTTTGTTAGACAATTTATTGTAATGGTTGAAACCTTTAAAAAAAATTAATTCAATGAATTTTGCTCATGTGTTTTATATAAATGGCTATTATATCTCATGGTATAGTTATGAACATTCACAATGAAATTAATAAACTCTTGAAAATATTATGGAACTAAATTATTTATTTTATATATAGGTATATAAATCATGGTTAGGTAATTTAACATGAATGTAAGAGTTAATCTGCTACTTTTTAGAATAATTCTCATACCACGATTATTAGAAATTCTTGTAATGAAGTAAAGTTTTTTTGATCTTTTGTAAACCATAGATGACTGAACAATAAAAAGTTATCGAGTTGAATTCCAAGGTACTTAATCAGGTTCCAATATCAATTTTTTCGGTGTTAATTCTAAGAGTGATTGCATTTAGATCAATATTGTTGTATTTAAGTATAGGAGTATTTGCTGGTTATTATCATGAATTTAGTTTTTGTCATATTTAATTTTATTTCATTGCCTAGTTATAAGATTGAATTGAAGAATATAATATGGAATAGTTCATGATTTCTCCAGGTACAACTTGAAATATAGAAATTAATTGCAGTCAGTAGAGTCAGTGGTAATGTCATGTCCAACAGTAGCCTTGTGTTTTTAAAGCTCAAAATAATAGTAAAAAATACTCTCCCCAATTCACCCCCTTATGAGTGAATTTCAACCCCTGAAGCCAACTGAGCTTGTGTGGGGAAGGGATGGTGATCATACTTAATGTCATTGGATTATATGGTAAAGTCCATTTGCTTTCTTTATTGTTTAAATGTAAAATGGATGAAACAAAAAGTTACTAGATTATGGCATGTCATAGATTAATTACATCATGTTATTATGTCAGGTGACAGTTATCAAAATAATTTTGAATTTTTCAATTTGTTAAAAATTGTATATTTTGATATTTCAAAAGTTTTTATGAGTAGTCAACAAAATGATTTAGTGATCAATCAAAAACTTTAATTCTATAGGTAGTTTCCTATTTTAAGAAACACAAATCTAGAGGTACAATCAAATGGCTGCAGAGGCATTAAATATTATGCAAAAAACTATCTATGCACCAACAAATTCTGATATAGAGTTATTTGTTAAAAATTGTATAATTTGATATTTCAAAAGTTTTTATGAGTGGTCAACAAAATGATTTAGTGATCAATCAAAAACTTTAATTCTATAGGTAGTTTCCTATTTTAAGAAACACAAATCTGGAGGTACAATCAAATGGCTGCAGAGGCATTAAATATTATGCAAAAAACTATCTATGCACCAACAAATTCTGATATAGAGTATGAGAAAATAATGTCTAAAAAGGTAAACCAAAGCAAAACAAAAGTCAATTCTTTAATATTAAGTTACATAAACGATTTTCAGAACAAATGCCTGATGTGAAATATTCTGCAGGGTCACTTAATACATGGATTTGAAAAATTGGCTTTCATTTTAAAAGAAGTAATAACAGACAGTTTTTATTGGAATGAACAGCGATTCAGTTAAAAAATGTTGTTTCTGTAAAATTTTAACAAGGAGAGAGAGCTGGGTAACTTTAAACCTGTATTTATGGATGAGACGTAGGTATATAGCAAGGAAAAAAGTTGGCAAGATGGAACGATGGCTACTGCAAGTAAAAAAAAACAGGAGATGAAATTCAATACATAATTGAAGGGGCAAGTGGATAAAGGGGCTAACTGACAAAACAATAATGTTTATAAAATCACTCTTTTGTGTTTCTACCTGGAACTTTTGTTTAAAACTGAATTTAAGTATGATTTTTTGACATAATGTTACTTGTTAGTTATACTATTAAACTAATTGTAAATTTTTAAAAAATATTATGGTATTATAAAAAAATATGTAGGTCACCCTTTTATTCATAACACAATGGAAGATAAATATTGGTGCTGCAGATGGATAAAAGAGAAAATTTATGAAAGACAGAAGTTTATTAAATATGTATCTAAAAATGTACCATTCTACAAAACATATTTTAAATTTTTATGTTTATACTGATCTACAAGTTTTCTTAATTTCATTGGATTCTTTCCCTGTAAAGAGTAACTCATAAAACCAACGTTGCTGTTGAGGAACATATTTAATTTGTTTTTTAAATCTTGAAGTTTTGATTGTGACACAGTGTCTAATATTCTCTGGTGGCATTAGTTGAAGTGGAGGCAAATGTTTTTGTCGATTGTTCAAAAATGACAAGCATTTTTTCACACATACTCCAGTTACCTACTCTATTTATAAACTACATAAATCACCCCGTATAAATAATATATAATAAACATAAGAACAACAATATATTTTATTATTCATTGAGTAGAATATGTCAACAAATTTAAAAATATTTGAAGACGGCTCTGCCTCTATAGCAACAGTAAACATAATCTAACGTTTTTTTTTTAATTTTAGGCAAACATATATAGTGTTAATTTCGAAATATTAAAATCTGATTCAACTTTCTTTAATAAAATACTGAAAATTAAAAAGTTCAAAGTATCAAATTTTAAATAATTATCTTACTTTTTCCGTAATAATTTCACAATCTGTTTATAAAATGTTGTCGAATTTGGCAGAGGGTTATTATTTTTGGCAAGGAATATCATTTTATTTATCATTTTAAATTTTATTGTATTGGATGTCACATGAACAATAGTGTACTTATGAAATTAGATCATATTTTTTTTCGATCAAATCTTTTGGTAATTTTGACTAAAAATATATAATTTAAACGTCACTATTATGTAAAATTGTTTTAATCTTTTTGGAAAAAATACTAACAAAAACAAAAAAGATATTTTAACTTTGACATTTTGCAACTATTTTATTATTTAATATTTCATTGAATAAAGCTGAGTCCAGATCATAATATTTTAAAGCCAAGATGCTATATATCATTGCTCTAATGGACCGTTAACAATGTTCATAAATGATTGTGAAAATAAATTATATATACCATTGTAATAATAAAATACAAATCGTCCTAAAATTTAAATAAAACAAAAAATTAAGTACAAATCCTCGAAAATAAAGAAATTAAAATATAGTTTGAAGTACATTTGCATCCTTGTCTTTGTGGTAGTTCCTGGTTTTTTTGTGATACAAAAATGTTAAGCTCACCTTCAACAAACCCAGTATCACTACCAATATGCATAATTATTAAACAACGTCCTTTATCCGTTAGTGATTTCAATCCCATAGAGAGTCCTCTATGATTTTTAATTTCTAAATCTTGTTTTCCCCTTATTACGGTATCTACGAATTTCCTTTAAATAGTTTCTACGCCAAACAACGATTTCCTTCAATAGTGCACTATTACGTGTTCTCTTAAAATAGCGAAAATTTACGTCTTAAAACTCAACGTGATATGTTTGGCAAATTACTATCCCTCTGTAACTCGGCACTGATTTTATTCACATTAAGTATTTCATTACAAAAAATTAATTAATTTTTTGATGAATCGTTTGTAACGTAATCATCTAAAATTATTTGTTTACATCCCCTTTTTTCTTTATTTATATTCAATCCTGCTTTTTAACCCTCGGTCACCCGCGTTCAATTTCCAAACAAGAGTACCGGCGTGGTGTCTGTGAGACGCCATTCAATTAATTCATAAGAATGGAATGAAAATATATGCTGAAGGTTTTATTTAAATAATTTACATTTTACTCATATATGTTTTTGTTCTACCCTAAATTCACAAACAAAAATTCTTCTTTAATAACGGTAAAATAAAATATGTAATAAATATAACATCTTTTACATTTTTAAACATATGAACAAAATAAATTTATAAAATACACAGATAACTTCTTAGCATAAATAGAATAATACAACAAAATAAAAAAAAATACTCAAACGTGATAATAACTATTTAATTTGAAATTACAGGACTAGCATATATATTCTGCATGCTCGAGGAATACGGAATTAGTGCATTGCTTGAACTTGTATTTGTTTATGCGATTTTGTTTTTTAATACACATATCTAGTACACGTATTAGGAAGGTACATGAAAGGAGAAGTCCGAATCTCACTATTTTAAGAAGTTCTGCGTATTGATAATGAGAGTGGCGTCTGTCAGACGCCACGCGGGTATCGGAGGGTTAATTTTCTACACTCGGTTTTTTTAACGTTCGATAAATCGTACTGTTTGAAACTTTCATTACTTCATCTACTGTATAATCTGAAAAATGTTCGCTTCCGAAAAATAATGCCGTTTTGCACAAGGGTTGCTACAGCTAGGTAACTCCTGATTCATTATAAAAGACGTTAAATCAATTTCAAAAGAAAAACAAATAAAATAATTTACCGGAAATTATATTTATCCAATTCTCTCCGACGCTCATGAACAGAAACCAAACAATACGCTAAATTGGTGATGACAGTTTTGGTTCATTTTGTTTTCCTAAATTATATTGTTATTGAATTTTTATAAATATATTCCTAGAGTAAGTAGATAAAATGCATCAAGTATATAATCATTTGGTGATCAATTACATGCCTTTAAACTACTTTTTATGACCTGCAAATAATATTTTATAAAAAAGGAAAGACAGCAAAAAAATTTAAATCAAATATTGTTAGAAATAAGTCAGTCACACTTTTATGGTGTATTAACGAACTGAACTCACAAGTGATTATTGGTTCTGCAAATGAAATATTATCGACGTTGCACTTTCTATATGGAGTGTGACTCAAACATATCTGTTTTATTGCATGGTAAAAAATACGAGAGAAAACAAATTCCCATATACATAGCAACATATAACAAACTGATCAACACCTAGTAGCTGTGCTGTCAATTTGAAGCAAATTACGTATAATTTATTATGTTTTAAAGTGGTCTCTATAGTTTTACATTCAAATAAGGTACCTAAAAATTTAAGTATAGCAATTTATTTCCAAGACAAATAAATAATTTTAAGTATGCTACATTATATTGCAAGAAATTCTTTCGGTATAATATGACAACTATGTTAGACATTCCTGAAATTTTCCCACTTACTATTATTTTGAAACCGTTTGTAGGATGGCAAGCCTCAACATGTTTTCATCAATTTTTTTTAGTTGCACCTTTTTTTTCATCAAAATTTTTTCCAAATTATTGTAGTCATTTTTTTTGTCTACATTTTTTCGTCAACATTTTTTTTATCATCATCATTTTTTATCAACATTTCATCTTTTTTTAGTCTTTTTTCCGTCACCATTTTTCATGATTAATTTTTTTAGTAAATTTTTCCTTCATCTTTTCGGCCTGTAGACGGATTTTTACATTTTGGAGTCTCCTGAATGTGAAAAAGTACTAAATTTTAAACATAAGCTTTAATCCTGCGCCTGCGGTGAGCTGATTAGATTTTGGGATAGTCAAAGCATCTGGGAGTAATTTAAGGTATATTTCTGTTATTTGTGATAATAAAAGAAAATTATTTTAAAAAGAGTTGTTTGTGGTGTTATTCTCTATGTGTGCCATTCATCATTTCTCTAAAATGGTCCATAATGGAGAAATTTGAACACTGCAAAATTCGAATTTTTCAGTATTTTCGTTGGCATTGATACGAAAAAATATTTGAAACAGTTCATATTCTAAATCAAATGGGCTGTGCTCAATATTTTTGATAACTGTGCAGGAAAATCATGTGTTGGACACATCACATTTTTGATTAACATTTCGGCAACTTTTTTTTAGTAATTTTTTTCATCAACTCTTTCAACATTTTTTCTAGAACAAGCTTTCTGATGAAGCCCCACAACTATTGCGAAATCGTTTGTAGACAGCAAGCTTCGTTTAATACTTATCCTACCTGGCGCTCATAAAGAGTTGAAGATAAAAAAGAATTAAATCCAATATTGAGTGGTTCAGTTCCAGAATTGCCTAACCAACAATTTAACAAACGTAACTGCCTAATCTTTTAGATATTGGCACTGAAAACGAATAATTTTAAGGAATGGGCAATTTTGGCATGCACAAAAATCATTTTAAAATAATATATGAAAACCGATTGTTTTGATATTATTAAAAGTTAGTAAATGAAATGTAGATCAAAGCAGTTTACCAGAATTTACTATAAGAAACTGCCCAATCTTTAGGTCTAGATGGGGGCACTGAAAACGAATAATTTTAAGGAATAGGCAACTTTGACATGCACAAATGATTTTAGAATAATAAACAAAAAAAGGTTGTTTTGAAATGTTCTTGGTTAGGCAACTCTGCTACTGAACCACTAAATCTATCAAAGACTGCTTTATTTTTATTTCTCTTTTAGGTTACACTGTACCATTGGACAAGAGATTAGCAGCTGATGGCAGAGGTTTACAGCAACTTCACATCAACGAAAATTTCGCAAAATTAGCTGAAGCTCTTTACATCGCCGATAGAAAAGCTAGAGAAGCAGTCGAGACCAGGGCTCAACTAGAAAAGAAACTGGCACAGAAAGAAAAGGAAGCCAAAGAAGAGCATTTGAGGGCGCTTGCTCAGAGAGCTCGAGAAGAGAGAGCCGGTATTAAGACAGCTAATAGTAAGTAGAATCTTGAAAAACTCGTTTCACTTTTAAATGTTATTTATTTTACAGATCATCATTCAAAAGGCGCAGACGATGAAGAACACGAACGTGATTTGTTACGTCAAGATCGTCACAAGGAACGCGCCAGAGACCGCAACTTGGCTCGTGCGGCCCCCGACAAGCGCAGCAAACTGCAGAGGGAACGCGAAAGAGATATTTCCGAACAAATAGCCTTGGGAATGCCTGCTAGAGGAGTATCTTCCAGTGAAACTCAGTTTGATCAAAGGCTGTTTGGTCAGGCGCAAGGTTTGGGTCAAGGTTATGCAGACGATGAAGCATATAATGTCTATGATAAGCCTTGGAGGGATGGTGGATCGATGGCCAACCATATTTATAGGCCAAGCAAGAATATCGATAAAGATATGTATGGGGGAGAGGATATAGAAAAAGCGATCAGAACTAACAGGTTTGTGCCCGACAAAGAATTCGGGGGCACGGATAGATCGAGTAGCGGCCGTGCAGGTCCAGTGCAATTTGAAAAAGAAGAGGATCCTTTCGGCTTGGATCAGTTCTTGTCGCAAGCTAAGAGAGCCAGTAAACGAAAAGAACCTGAAAAGAGAGATGACAGAGACAAGAGAAAGAGGAGGGATTAAGTTTTACCATAATAATTATTTTTTTTTTATTTAAAATATTTTTTCAGTTTACAGAGTAAGATGAAAACTAAATATTTAAAAAAATTGGATGTGTTTTATTATAGTAATGCAGACATTTTATATTTGGTCATTAACAGCAAATATTTAAATTTCGTTAAAATGCACGTAAGTCATCCCTGAATTTGTTCAGTTTAAACTAATTGTAAGTGTCAGTTGTCAATCTTTTGACAGATGATCCCGACATAAGGGTTCACATTTAATTTAATTATTTTAAATTAAAATGATAAAAACTACTTTAAAAATATTTTTAATTTATAATATATTTCATCTTTTGGACTGTTACAAGATATACTTAGTTATTGTTATTTATTTTTTTCTTGTAATGACCAAATACCAAATATGATCATTTAAATATGCGAGTATGGTTTTTAATTATACATTTTGCGCTAATGTAAGTTTGATTTAACTATGCATAAATTCTCATGTTGAAGAAAACTGGAAAATAAATAATTTTTTATTTAAATATATTTTTTAATTGTCCTTACTATTTACGTTTTATCTTTGCAGAATTATCATAGACCAGCAAAGTTTGCCCCTGTTTCATAACCCTTCTTAACATATTTACAAAATAAAATTATCCTTCTATAAACCTTGTATGTACAGATACAACATTACAACATCCTTATTGTATTCTTAATGTCGACATTAGAAATTTGATCTTAATATTAATTCTCACGTGTCAGTTGTCAATATTATCCTGAAGTAAAGGTTTGGCACTCATTTGAAATAATTAAAAAAAATACTTTTGAAATTTTTTTTAATTTAAAATCATCTTTTAGAGCATAACAATTGCTACTTTTTTACTTTCCTGTGACTACTAAGGAAAGTATAGATTAATCATGATTTTTCGACATTTTTATTATTTGAGGTCCACTGAATCAGTTTTGACCATTTTCGAGATGATGTTTGTATCCACTTAAAAATCAGAAACTTACATTAATTTATTCCAAAATGTATCTAACCCTGTCCTGTATAATTATAACTTTCGTCGAAAAATGTTGATTACATTCATGCCGTTGTAAGAGCCATTCACAGAACAGCTTTGCGGGGGAAATGTTAAAAAGTTAAATGTGAAAGGGGTACAATTGATTTTCCCGCAGTTGTCCACATTCTTCTTTGACTTATCCCACCTGATCTGCAATCACCCACGTACTTGTTGCATCCTCCTCGAAAACATTATTTAAAATGTTTTCTTATAAACTCACTTCATTTTCAGTTTACCAGATAAACACACTATTCACCTAATGAAATCAGGCCACTCAATTACAAAAACTGGTACACTATGAACTGAGATTAATATTCATATGATAAATCGAAAAAACAAAACCATGAACTTAATATTTTTTAACTTTTTCTACACCAGTCCAGCCCCGGATTCAAGTTTATCTTATTTTTGAGTTTTTTTGAAAAATATGTTTATTTTAATACACAGTTAAAAGAAGTTATTTTTTTGTGTGTCATCGGCATCAACTACCCGGGTTATTTCGCCTCGTATTCTGTGTAGGTTTTGTTACTGTTGCACAGCGCCACTTTAGGAACAGCACTTTTAATTAGAACCCAACAGTGAATGGTCGAGTGGGGAATCCTACCAAGGCATCAGAATTAATTTTAAATAATTAAATTAAATAAAATCCCGGCCAACGGTGGGATTCGAACCCGGGACCCATAGGCATAGTCTGAGCATCTGGGAGGGTACTTTAAAGGGGGGCGTTTTTCTATTTCATGGTATAATTTTATTATTTATGATAAGATAAGAATTTTTTTTAATAAGAGTTTTTTGTGATAGTCACTACCAATTTTGTCATATACATGTGTGGTTGCATGGCACATCTTTAATGAAATTAAGAGCTATAGGTTTGGGGGTTGTGCACTGGACTGGTTGGGTCATTATATGGAAAATAGGAAACAGAAAGTTAAGGTAAGTAATTGTGTTTCAGATACTATAGAGAATAATATGAGGGTGCCACAAGGTAGTGTTCTAGGTCCGCTACTGTTTTTAATGTATATTAATGACATTGCTGGTGTTGTTGAAAGATGCTCAATAAACTTATTTGCAGATGATACTTTGATATTTTTACCCATGAAAACATTGAAACTTGTTTTAAAGAAATGAATAGTTCTATAAGTAAAATATATGATTATTGTAACGGAAACTCGTTTAAAATAAATTACGAAAAGACAAAAGTGGATGTTAATTGGGCGTACTGGAAATTTAAAAAAATTAAATGTAGCATCGCAGTGTTTCTGTTGATCGAATAAAGTTTCAGAGAGTTGAAAAATTTAAATATCTAGCGGTTATGGTTGATACAAATTTACAATTTAAGGAACATGCTATATAATAACGTCATCAAAAGCATATCATTTAAAATAAACTGAGGCGCTGTTCTCCACATCTCGGCAAATGGGCTAAAATAATAATTTACAATACTCTAATTATTATGCCACTATATTGTATTTGCTCAACCAGAATGAGCTGCAACAATTGCAGTATAGAGGTATGAGGATAATACTGAGCTGTTCGAGATTGGAACCAATCAATTCCATATTGAATGCCCTTCACTGGTTGCCTGTTAAAAAATACTTGTTATTCTATTCCCTGCTATTTATATTTAATATTAAATCAGGAATCTCCCCAGTATATTTACAAAACATTTTAAGTTATAATCAGGATGTTCACACATTACACGAAATAAGAAAAAATTTAGAGTTTATAAGGCCACGAAAAAATGTACACAAAATTCAGTGTTTTTTAAAGGTGTACAGGCTTTTAATAATTTGCCTGAAGATATTAAATTTTCTTCAAACGCAGCAATATTTAAAAGAAAACTACGTGAGTACTTGCTGACCAATTGATGTTTTTTTTTTCTTTCTTGTTCTTTTATTATGTTTTGTATAGTTGACATGTATTTTTTTATTGTATTTTAAATGTATGTTGATTCTATACTCATGTATTTTATATATTTTAAATGTGAATATGTATTGACATGTAAAAAATAGTTTTTTTGACTAAATTAACGATTTATAAAAAACACCCAGTCCAATGCAACAACTCAATTGTAAAAATCCAAACATTTGGTTTCAACAATATTTGTTACTTAGTTTAGGAAATTAAGACTAAATTATCTTCTACGCTGAGCCAAGTAAATTGAGGCTGTCGTTTGAGGTATTTACGAACTTGCCGCTCGGTAAAATATATGTTAATTAAATAGTACATTCATTCTTTTATTGCAACTCCTCACCAATCCTACATGATTTCTTTTAAAAAACGGTGCAAAATTTGAATGTTTTCAAGATTTTCGTTGGCAATGAAGACATGAAAAAATTTTTGGAATAAAATGTGTGTGGAAAAGGTATCTATAATTTAGATTAAACACTTCTTGAATAGATGGACCATACTCAATTTATTTGGTAACTTTACAAGAAAATCATGTGTGTTGTAACATAACAGATACTTTTATTTTGTATTGACCTCATATAACCTGCTCTTTTTTAGTTTGTGAATATGGCTTTTAATAACATATACATTATGCAGTAATGTAAGTTCAATTTAAATATCCCTTATTCTCATGTAAAAAAAATATCCAAAAAATAAAAGAATTATTTAAATATATTTTTTAATTGTCCTTAATATTTACATTTTATCTTGTACAAAATTAATATAGACTGGCAAAGTTTTCTTTATCCCACTGAACCCTTTTTAACCTATAACTATATTTTTTTCTCATTTGGTAGCCCTTTAACTTCATCACAAATTAAAATGTTCCTTCTATAAACTTTGTATGCACAGATACGACATTCTTCACTATTATATTCTCAATTTCAACACCATTAGAAATTTGCTCTTCTGTTAATTTGATTTCATAATTAGAACCTTCAGTTACAAAAACGACTCTTGTCCGTCTCGTATGCAACATATTCCCAATGACCAGTTTATGTTTATATTTTTTTATAGCTCCTGTTGCTTTGGAAATTAGTACACTCTCATCTGTTTCCAATTTAAAAGATACAACAAATGCATGAGGTACCCAAAGGGATACAATTGGTACTAGTAGCTTAGGTACTAACTGAAGATGAATCTCTGGAACGCCGTCTGATGGTAATTTGTGGGTAGCCATTTGACTACTAGGAACAAAGAAGTCTGAGACAGCAGCTGCTAAGTATAGCAAGGCGTTTGCACCTATATCCTTCAAGTATTCACAACAAGCTCTTAATAACCAAAAATAATCAGATAGCGTAGTAAAATTAATATAAAGCATCTTATTATCTTCTTGCGCTCTTTGATATTTTACAAGTATCGGCGCTAACATATCTACACTGTCAGGTTTAATAGATATAGACACATTTTTTTCGTTTTTTTGTAAGACTAGCATATCTAACATCTTCAAATGATTAAAGTGCCTTGTAAACGGAATAATTGAATTGAATCGATGTAGGAATATCACAGAATAGCCTTGATCTAAAAAATATTCAGCAGAAGCTGCTCCTCTTAATCCGCCGCTAAAATTGTCCACAAATCTCACTGTATTGTGTTCAAGTGGGACAGTCGTACCTCCAGATGTAACCAGAACAATTCGTTGATTGTTTTTCTTGTGGCTTTCGCAGAAGTTTTTTAAGAGAGTGCAATTATTTTCGAAGTTTACTGGCTGTGGGTTTGTGGAGTAGAATTCCTCCCAGTGAGAGGCCATATTGAAAATATGAATATACAGCTAAAAATACTGTCGAAAATAAACGGAAAACTAGTTTTAGTTTTTACTAAAAAATATATATTTAAAAAAAAACATTTATAGGTTATGTCAAAAGCTAGCAATCCTTCCTCCATGAGCTAGCATGTAAACTTAAAACTTGTAAATAAAGAAAAAATAAAGGAAAGGAAACTGTTGCTAACATAAACACTAACTTCAGTTTGTTGATGCAAAAGTTTAGATCACTGAACTCAGATACTTTGACTGAACTATTATAGTTCAGTGGTTTTAGATACATTTTTTTTGGCACTGTTACGAAATAACGCTGAACAAAATAGAGCTTTTTGAAATAGCGCGTATCAAAAGCGCGTTTGAACGAAATAGCTTCAGTAAAAAAAGTGGTCAAAACAGAGCCTGATAAAAATTACGCCAGACTGAAACAGTGCCTTATCGCAATGGCGTCTATTAAAACAGCGCGTTTTGAAATAGCGCGGTCAGGTGAACAGCGGTATTAACTAATTTACCTAAATTGTGTGGCCTGGAGCCGTCGTGGCTTACTTCCCAATTTTTTTTCATTAAATGAGAAAAAACTTAACTTAGGCCCGATTTCGCCGTTGTGTTAAATCAAGTTTAAATTACTAAGGGCCCGGCTATTCCCGTTTTATTTCAATTAATAAAAGAAGATTAAAATGACATTGTTAATGTAAAAATGTCATTTTAATATTCGTTTAGTAATTTAAACTTCGTTTAACACAACGGTGAAATCGGCAATAAGCGAAGATTAAAATGGCATTGAATGTAAAAATGTGATTTTGAACCTGCATGGTTTATTTCTTAATCTCTGTTAACTACTAGATTAAATTAGGCCTTATTTACCTAACCTTTGCGGCCTAAAGCAAACGCAAGTTCCATCGCAAAAAAATTATTCATAAAATAAGAAAAAATGAAAAACTTATTAACCTAGCCTGTGCGGATTTGAACCATTTAAATTTTACAGATCGTTCAAACAATTTAGTTGTTTTTCAAAAAAAAAAAAAATCGACGGAACCACCGCGATGGCTCCATGCCGCCTACGTTAGACAAATTAGTCAAAAAGCGCTATTTTATTCAGGCCTTAGATCGCTATTTCGATACGCAGCACTATTTTAATAAACGCTATTTCGGTCAGGCGCTGTTTTGTTACAATAAGCTATTTTGAGTAAGTGCTTGAATGGGTGCCGGCCGCCGGTACATGAGTAGGGCTGCCATACCTCCCGATTTCTCACACTCCCTCCCTCTTTTTAAACTAAGCTATAAACCTCCCGATTTTTCAGAAATCTTCTAATTTAACCCGAATTTACATTGAATAGATATTAAAAAATTATTAATATGATAACGATACTATCAAATTATCGGTCATTCAACCCATACCTACAAACATCGTAATCTCTACAAAGCGCCATCTTTAATATCTGGGGGCGATGGATTTGAAAACAAACCCTAAATTGAACGATTTCATAAAAATTTCTGATGAGTTTGCTATTGATGTAGATATTGGCCTATTTTTAGAAGAATTTGTAAAGCTGTTATCATATTTGGAAAACCCACCACTAAATTTTAAAGACATTAAAATTAACCTGCAACGGGTTTATTTTTATTATTTTAAAGCCATAGATCTCAAATTTTTTTCAAAATTTGCTCTTATGTTTTTGGTCTTCTTCACTCAAATGCGATGAGTGAGAGCATTTTTAGCCTAGAGGGAAGAAAGAAATTATCTTTCTATAAAGACAGAATCTGAACTAATGATTAAATGTAATTACACTGAAACTTGCCAAGAAAAATGTTTTAATTATCGGGCATTGAAATTTGTTTTTGTTTTTTTTTTTGATGCTGTAATAATCTTTGTATATTTAGTAGATTTTAATTAAAATACATGTTTTTTTCTTCAAAAATTAAAACTTCCCGCTTTTCATTTCTGAAAATCTGGCAGTCCTAGACATGAAAGAGTGTTAGGAAACGAGACAGCAGACATCCTAGCCAGGAAGGAAACTTAGAAAACTCTAATTAGACCATAAGCCACATGTGGTATTTTATATCAATAGGTTAAATGGATGCTAACAGAACAGATAAATTAAGAGAACACCATAGGTCCTGGTTGGAACTTGCTGGACTTACAGTCCAAAATATTCATAGGGGATCCATCCAAGAGCAGACAAAATCAAATACTAAACAGCAGAAGCGAACTAAAGACCATTATATGTAGGACTCATCTTTACAAGACACTGAGGCCTTAGAAAACACCTTAATCTCTTAGGAATCTCTGATTACTCCCTATGTATAATATTTAAAGGGGATGACGAAACTCCTATTCACATATTGTGCTATTATCGAAACCTTAAATGGAAATGGGAATGGCACTTCGGGGTACAATATCTAGATAAAGAAATCCCAAAAGCGTCCATATTCTTCGTCTACGAAGAAAAATTATTTCATATGTGCCTCATAACATTCATTTTATAGATCTTCTCTAAGGAATTGCTAGTCGTTACCTTTGAACTGTAACCCCTAAACGGTATAGAATTTAGTGGTCGTTACAAGTCTTACAAGTTTGATACGACTACGACTTGAACGCGCGAAAATATGGCTAAAACCAAACTTACTGACAGCTGACATTTACGCTCTCAAATATTTATAGGTTATACATTAGTTTGTTTACGTTTATTTATGATTACTTAAAAAACAAGATTAACATTTTTAAATCAATTTTGAATTAAGTGTTAAGTGACTTCACTTGAAAATGCATCGCCGCGGTGGTAAACGCATCCGTATGGATGACCCACCGCCTGAATATGAAAACCCGATGACGCCCCATTTAGAACAGGACCACTACGGAGGTAATTACATGCAACAAAGCATGTACGGAGATAGTTACGACCATGGAAACACTTCTGGTGATTTTGAGTCGCCACCTACTCCAGGTTTCAAAAGGGTAACAAGGTCTAAGGCAAGAGGAATCAATAACCCACCTCCAGCCCCAGTAATTTCTCCCTCGTATTCACCCACTAATACTACAACTGGTACTACTGGACGAGGAAGAGGTAGAGGTAGGCCTCCAGGAAGGAAGAACACTATAGGAGAGATTATACATAGTAGGGATGATGATGATTCTTTATATCACATAATTAAAAACAGCAAACATTCTTTAACCCACATTGTTGATGACTGGATTGAGAGCTACAAAATTAACAGAGAAGCTGCATTAATTTCTTTAATGCAATTTTTTATTAATGCATCTGGATGTAAAGGGCGGATTACTCAGCAGATGCAAGCTTCTATGGAACATGCTGCTATTATTCGAAAAATGACTGAAGAATTCGATGAAGAAAGTGGAGAATATCCTTTAATTATGGCTGGGCAAACTTGGAAAAAGTTTAGACAAAATTTTTGCGAATTTGTACAAACATTGGTGAAACAATGCCAATATACTATCATATATGATCAGTTTTTGATGGATAATGTTATTTCATTGCTTACTGGTTTATCAGATTCACAAGTAAGTAAAAAAAATTCAAAAATTTTTATTGTTTAAAAAAATGTTATCTTTACATTAACAAACAAAAACTGTATTATCTAGGTCAGAGCTTTTAGACACACGGCAACTTTAGGAGCAATGAAACTTATGACAGCTTTGGTGGATGTTGCTCTTACTGTATCTGTTAATTTGGATAACACTCAACGTCAATATGAGGCTGAACGTCAAAAAACTAGAGAGAAAAGAGCTAGTGATCGTTTAGAAGCTCTGCTAGCTAAACGACAGGAACTTGAAGAAAATATGGATGAAATTAAGAATATGTTGACATACATGTTCAAGTCTGTATTTGTACATAGATATAGGTATATGTTAAGGTTTCAGATTTTATATTCAAAGTTAATAATAAAATTATTACAGAGATACATTGCCAGAAATTAGAGCGATAGCAATGACTGAAATTGGTGTTTGGATGCATAAATTCCATGCTAACTTTTTGGATGATTCTTATTTGAAGTATATAGGGTGGACCTTGCATGATAAGGTAAGAAAATAACATAGCTTAGTATACCTGATATAACTTTGAAAATGTTTCTGTTTCTCTTTATTTCTTTGTTTCCCTTTTGCTCTGATATCTCCACTTACAGTTCTTCTCCTTTTTCTCTTCTTTATCTATTATATGTATAAACAAGGGATGTATCATCCCTAATAAAAAGGTCTAAACTGCTTTTCAATGGTTTAATTCACGATCAAGTATTCTCAATTACAATGTTGCTGTGGTATTGTCACTGTCTATTCGCGTACTGCCCACGGCGCTGGTCTGCCTTCTCACGCTCGTCTATCCTGACAAGCATGAGTATGGACTTCAAGAATGTGTGTTGGGGAGAAAGACACACTGCTGCTAACACGGCCATCCTGCAATTGGTGCGCCCTCGCGCCACGTATATCTGGAATTACAAAATACGAAAACAACTACTGTTATGACTTATGAACATTATCACTAATGTTCTTTTAAGACGCAAAATAATTAATTACTCTTTCAATTATTGTTGGTGGAATTGCCACGATTACAGTAAACATAGTGGGATCGCCACTAGTCATTCTTTCAATCAACAGTGGTGGGATTGCCACCATTACCATAAACATTAGTGGGATTGCCACTTAATACTCTTTCTATCAATGTTGGTGGGATTGTCACCATTACAGTACACATTAGTGGGATTGCCACTAATTACTCTTTCAATTAATGTTAGTGGGATTGCCACCATTGCAGTAAACATAGAGGGATTGCCACTAACTACCTTTTCAATTAACCTTGGTGGGATTTCCACTAACTACTTTTTCAATTAACCTTGGTGGGATTGCCACTAACTACCTTTTCAATTAACCTTGGTGGGATTGCCACCATTACACTAAACATAGTGGGATTGCCACTAACTACCTTTATTTTTATTTATTGTTGGTGGGATTGCCACCCTAACACTAAACGCTAGTGTTATAAAACTAAACTCTCGTATTACTTTATTATCATAATTTATTCAGGAACATTTGGTAGAATTGCAACCCTAACACTAAACGCTAGTGTTATAAAACTAAACTCTAGTGTTAATTTATTATCATGATTTATTCAGGAACATTGGTGGGATTGCCACCCTAACACTAAACCCTAGTGCTACAACACTAAACTCTAGTGTTAATTTAATATCATGATTTATTCAGGAACATCTGATGGGATTGCCAGCCTAACACTAAACACTAGTGCTACAACACTAAACCCTAGTGTTAATTTATTATCATGATTTATTCAGGAACATCTGGTGGGATTGCCACCCTAACACTAAACACTAGTGCTACAGCACTAAACCCTATTGTTAATTTATTATCATGATTTATTCAGGAATATCTGGTGGGATTGCCACTCTAACACTAAACACTAGTGCTACAACACTAAACTCTAGTGTTAATTTATTATCATGATTTATTCAGGAACATCTGGTTGGATTGCCACCCTAACACTAAACACTAGTGCTACAACACTAAACCCTAGTGTTAATTTTTTATAATGATTTATTCAGGAACATCTGGTGGGATTGCCACCCTAACACTAAACACTAGTGCTACAACCCTAAACCCTAGTGTTAATTTATTATCATGATTTATTCAGGAACATCTGGTGGGATTGCCACCCTAACACTAAACACTAGTGCTACTTTATTATCATGATTTATTCAGGAACAGTTGGTGGAATTGCCACCCTAAGTTAACAACACAAATATTTTAATTTAATATTGTGGGATTTTCACTCACCTTTTTTTATAATTACTGCGATGACGGTAGCCTTAACTGATCGTGAGCGGCTACTGTTGTTCGTTGTCGCTTTTTGTGAAGTTGATATATTTCATGTGATAATACCTCTCGAACAGTGTAAGGCCCTTTGTATTTTGGCCTCATTTATCCTCCACCTGCGAGCTGTGAATCTTCAATTGCCACGATATCGCCTAGCTTAAATAATGTGGCCCGACGCCTATTTTTATTGAATCGTTGCCCTTGGTTTGACAGTTGCCCTTGGTTTGACAGTTGCCCTTGGTTTGACAGTTGCCCTTGGTTTGACAGTTGCCCTTGGTTTGACAGTTGCCCTTGGTTTGACAGTTGCCATTGGTTTGACAGTTGCCATTGGTTTGACAGTTGCCCTTGGTTTGACAGTTGCCCTTGGTTTGACAGTTGCCCTTGGTTTGACAGTTGCCCTTGGTTTGACATCTTTTTTTTTATGCATTGTTGTGTTACTATGATGGCCCCTTCTGTGAGTGTTGTTTGTAACAAATTAAAGATAGTTCTCATTACACATTCTACCATTTCCACGAGGAACTCCGGTTACTATGTAATTAATATGCACGTTCCGTTTACTAAGAAAGTTTTTGTAAGTTATTGAATTAAATGCAGCAGCTGGATCAGCTATAATAATTCATATTGGTTTTCTCAATTCTTCAACAATTGGTATAAGACAACATGGAATCTTTAGAAATTGTTTCTAGCTTGCAATATTTTGAAAATGCATCGTTTATAACTAATATTTGAATACAACCACTAGATTTCACTAAAGGCCTGCATGATCAATATGTAACGTGTGTAAAACATATGGATTTTCTCCTTGTTACCAAAATTCACGTCAAGTGTTGATTTTCTTAATGTTACAATTTTTTTATATATTTTTTTTAACCCTCTATGGCCCCAGGTTACTTTGAGGAAACATACACTATTATTATTAATACCGTACTTAAAATTTCTGTTTTTTACTTTAATATCCCATAATTACTTCAAAGTAACATAGTTCTATCCTACTGAAATGTAATATGGTGCCATCTATATGTTATTTGTAAAATTACACGGGAATAATTTTAATGGCGCCAGCTTATTGTTATAGTGATTGACTTGTGAGTTTTGGACATTGAATATCTATTTATTCTTTATCAAATTGGTTCGAAAAAATTATATTACGGGAATTTATATTTTCGAGCAGACAAGTATTCAAGAATACTTTAAAAACTGTTGTATTTAGTTGATAAAACGGTTGAATTAGGTATGTTACTTTGATGATACATTGGGCTATAAAAGTTTTCATAAATTATTTGATTTCAAATTACAGTATGGATCCAATAAAGTTTTATGGACTGAAATCAAAGAAAAAATACCCAGAAATTTTTACTAAAGTTGTCGATTTTGGGAATAATTCAGATGATTCCAAATTGAGTGATAGTGGCGAAGAAGATGATGAAATTTTGAAATATAAAGATCAATTTTTTGATGAAGAAAATCCATGCTGTTCTAAGAATATATCTGGACCAATGGAAGAGCTGATAAGTGAGTATGAAATGAGTATTAATAGTAGTAGCAGCAATGAAGAAGAGAGTTTTGAGAAGAAAAATATGAAAAATGTTCCAAAGAAATCTAAAAATAAGAAAACGGTTTTGAAAAAAACTGAAAAAAAAACAAGCGGTTCCATATCTGAACTAATGGAGGAGATGAGTGATGAGTATGAAATAAGTAGTAACCGTAGTAGCAGCAGCGAAGAAGAAATTTTTGACAAAAAATATAGGAAAACTGTTTCAAAGAAATCTAAAAATAAGACAATTGTTTCGAAAAAATCTGAAAAAAAAATTGGTACACCAAAATCAAAAACTAAAGTAGCGTTAGATTGGAAACTGGTAACAACAAAAACAATACGTCCAATTGTAATTTGGAAGGGAAGTTTGCCGGATGCTCCTGAGCAGCCAGAGACTCCGTTACAGTACTTTAGAAAATTTGTTGATTCAGATTTATTAGATCACATGTCGCACAAAGCAATTTGTTTGCTTGCCAAACCGATCCCAATAAACCTCTCTTTTTGACTAGCGAATCATTGAAACAATTTATAGGAATAACATTCATAATTTCGATATATGGTTTACCTAGAACAAGAATGTTCTGGCAAACTGAGACGCAGGTTCCTAAAATTGTAAATACTATGTCACGAAATAGATGGGAACAAATAAAATCCAACATTCATTTTAATGATAACACCAAGGTTGCTACTACTAATGATAAACTCTTCAAGATACGACCCCTACTTGACAAATTAGTTGCAAAATTTAATGAAATTCTTATGACTGAAAAACTCTGTGTAGATGAGCAGATGATTCCTTTCAAAGGAAAGCATAGTTTGAAACAATATATGAAAAACAAGCCAAAAAATGGGGCTACAAAGCCTTTGTGTTGTGTGGATCAGACGGTGTAATTTATAACTGGGAATTATATTCTGGTTCAGTAGATTTAGATCCCACCCTTACGGATGTAGGCGTTAGCGAAAATGTTGTCATGAGACTTTCAAAAATCGTTCCTAGAAACTACTATTTTAAAATTTACTTCGATAATTGGTTCAATAGCCAAAAATTACAAGTCGAATTATTCAAGCTGGGTATTCTCAGTCTGGGAACGGTAAGGTCAGATCGTCTAGGGGGATGTAATTTTACTACAGATAAAGAAATGGCAAAAAAAGGAAGAGGAAGCTTAGAAGAACGAAAAACAAAAATGGATGGGGTTGATTTAACAGCAGTGAAATGGTATGATAATAAATCGGTTCATTTACTGAGTACTTTCGTTGGTTCTAATGCAGTTAGAGAGGTAAAACGTTGGGATAAAAAAGCAGTTTCAAAAATTGATGTGTCATGTCCCAAAGCAGTAGAACTGTACAATCAATTCATGGGAGGCGTCGATTTAGTTGACTCACTTATATATATATATATATATAGAACTACAATAAGAAGTTAAAAATGGTACCATAAAATTTACTTTCATCTTATGGACTTATGCGTCGTAAATTCATGGCTGCTGTATAAAAGAGATTGCAAGACAATAGATTTTCCAAAAAAAAAGCAACTAAGTCTGTTACAATTTAAAACAGATTTAGCTCACAGTCTTTGTACTGCAGGAAAGGATACAACAAACAGCCGTAAACGGGATCGCCCAAGCAACTCATCAGTTGAACAAGAAATTGAAATTAAAAAACATAAAGGAAAAGTTGCTGAAATGTCTACAGAAGACGTCAGAAGAGACAATATAGCACATTGGCCTACTTTTAGCAATAAACGGGGAAGATGCAAACATCCTGGATGTCATGGAATTCCCAAAGTGATGTGCATCAAATGCAATCACTATTTATGCTTTACTCCTACATCAAATTGTTTTGTTCACTTTCATACTCGGTGAGGTCCACTGTTACACTCAAGTAACATACCCTTAAAAACATGACAGGGTAATTTTTTTTTCACATATTATATGTCAGTATTAATTAATAAATTCTTTTTGAAGCAGAAATTTAAGTATTAATTTTTTATTTTGACTTACAATAAATTGGGCCATAGAGGGTTAAGCACTGACCCATTTTCGGCCAATATAAAATAATAAATAAATAGTCTCTGAATACCTGAAGAGTGTTGTTAGAAAAAATGCCCATTGCTTCATTTACGTAAAAACTGTACTCATCCGACGAACTATAACTCATCCATTATCTTTAGGCTATTTTTACATTTTGTCCTTATTTTCCCCTTCCTATATTCGGCTGCATCCCTTGGTTCATACGAGCAGCCCGCAGATTTCCCTACCTTACTGAAGACCACATGCTATTTTTTACAAGCTAGATCTTCTATGACGTCATCGTTTCATCTTATTATCTACTATATGTGAAGACTCATCATTATATAAAGTCAGAATAAACAATCGCGCTGCGACGATCATACAATATTTTCGGAGTTTTGTTTATAGTTGTCCTATTTAACAATTCGGTAGGTCAATGTCAAAGACCGCTTATTAATTATCTGATGACAAATCGTATCACTTTGCTGGAAATCTCGGAGTGTATGCTTATCGGTAATTTTGTTTGTTTGTTTATTGTTTTTAACGGGCACACTTTTAAATCGCTTACATAATTCACTGGATTTCTTTAATAATCTATATGTTACATTTTATGTCCAGGGCGGTACTCAATAGAAAAGTTTTAATTCTATAACTTATAACAAGAGTCTTTAGATTGTAAAAATGTTACCTTGATTCACAATCAGTTGTACGGCTACTATAGTATGCAATAGGTTTAGTAACAAAGCAGTTACCTGTTTGGAACTTTCTTCTATTTCCATTTGATAAAAGCTTGACATCATGTCCAACGTGGTAAAATATTTTAAAAGCATTAATTTGATCTTCAAAACTTTTTTTCTTAATAGCACAATGGGACTTTTATATTTTATAATACAATAGTAATACTCTCCCTAATTCAACCCTTGTACTTACGAGTAAATTTTAATCTCCAAAGTTGACAGAGCTTGTGTGTGGAAAGAACGGTTATCATTTTATTTGTAATGACGCTCCGGGACGACTTAAAGGTGACTGCCATTTGACTTACAGATGAGGAAAACCCAGAAAACCTCACCCACCTTCATTTTAAGTGACTTCTGCTGATAATGTCACTGTTTATAATTTTATTCAGCTGAATTTTGTCTTGATACGCTAATCGCCTTAATTGATACGCTACAAGAGTACTACATTTTAATCTAAATTGACATTTTCTAGTAGTTATGTGGTCAGGATTTTATTCTTGTAAAATGTTAAAAGTTTCTTCACTTGTATTTTTAAAGTGTCTTTTAATTCTAATTAATTAATTTTCATATCGTTCAATTTTTTTATTGTAAACACTTTCGGAATATTGAGCAGGTCATAATATAACTCAATCTCATCGGCATTTTTCTCGACATTTAAACAAGGTCGACATCTGACATTGCATCCAATAACAATATCAACAAATTTTGGAATCACACTATTTGGAACGACCTCTTATGTAATAGTCGGCAAAATCACAGAGATCGATATTCTAAACATCTTCAGTTCCAATTTATAACAAAAGAAAATGCATCAGCTGGCCTAATCGTTCCTTTTAATGTTTTTACTACGGAATATTTAATTATTGAACTGTCAGCAGCACTATCAATAAGGTATTTTAATGACTGAGTTTTGTTCATAGTATAATAACATGGCTATCGGTGTCGAATTCAGATGGCGTCACTTTTTTTACCACAAGTGTTTTCTTAGGCTTTTTTTTATTTATACCAACAATTATTTGATTCGACGTGACCCATTTTTTTGTTACAATGAGTGCACTAATACTGTCGGATTTTTTATGAGTAATAATGGCGTTAAAAGTACTCGCCTGTTATATTCTCCAACATAGATTTTATTTGGCTTGAAACGTTCGGCTTCTCGTCTATCTTTAAACTGACTTCTTGGTTTTCTAAGGATCTCTGCATTTTTCGTAATTATCGAGGTCTCAACACTGATCGCATCAAATTCATTGAGTAATTTTATGAGTTCACGTTCGGAATTAAGATTTTGTATGTGAATGGCAAAATGGGCTTTTGAATTGTCTGAACTCAGAACTGGATTCCACAGCAACCGGCAACGCATCATAAAATCTAATGATGCCACAACATTTTTGATTTTTATAATCACAGTGAGTCACAAACATGGCTTTGAAGTGTAGCCGCTTTGTATTCATGAGCAGCTGGTGTGTCCTTGTCAGCGAATGCAACAATTAGGTCATCACAAAAGTTTTGTCACGCTCGAAAAAGAAGTCGCCAGACACAACAATAACCAGAATTCTTAGGTGCATCGCTCAATTTAGCGATCATAAAATTATCGCTAACGCTGAGTTCGCCTTTTATTTTGGTAGCGTTACTCAAACCATTCTTTTGTGGAATATGTGCTCTCGTCAGGGTCATAACTGGTAAGTCGAAAACAGTGCACAGGCGCAAATGTCGGCGCTTGCGTGTTAGATTAATCTGCTCCTGCAACACTGGGCGTTGGCTTAGCGAACGGCTACATAGCCATCTTGGAATGTTGAATTAAATCAGCAATTTATTACTCTTGGGCTGCTACAAAGTTTATTAATGTTTCCTGCCACTGAAATTTAGCACGCTCTGAACTATGTCCGTTCACATTGTCGTTAACATCGACCGACATTGTGTTTTGCTGACGCACTGTCACGAGGTTCAGGATTTTCGTCCGTCATTATCACTAGCACTAACTTCTACTGAAATTACTAATTATAGTCTATTAGCCACGGTACGTGTAGTGATCTCATTTCTGATATAAACAAGGGATGTTTAATATAAGGGATATGTATCATCCCTAATAAAAAGGTCTAAACTGCTTTTCAGTGGTTTAATTCACGATCAAGTATTCTCAATTACAATGTTGCTGTGGTATTGCCACTGTCTATTTGCGTACTGCGCTGGTCTGCCTTCTCCCGCTCGTCCATCCTGACACGAATGAGTATGGACTTCAAGAATGTGTGGTGGGGAGAAAGACACACTGCTGCTAACATGTTTGACCCTTCAACATTGTTTTTAAGTAATAAACATTTTTGCCAATATTTTTTTTAATATTTTTTTAGTCATTCATGTTTTGGGGAAAATCGTCGTTTGTGACTGTAATAAAAATAATTATGTATATCATGTTTTGAAATGGTTATTTTATTCTAACTATTCTAAAGGTTGGTGAGGTACGTCTAAGATGTTTGCAAGCTCTACAACCTCTATACGCCAGCGAAGAACTAAAAGGAAAACTAGAACTATTTACAAATAAATTCAAAGACCGTATTGTTGCCATGACACTTGACAAGGAGTACGAAGTTGCTGTACAAGCTGTCAGATTGGTTATTTCAATTTTGAAACACCATAATGAAATTTTAACGGATAAAGATTGTGAACATGTGTATGAATTGGTAAGTATAATATTATAAGATAATGTCATAATATAATGTAATAAATGTAATCGGTTTTAAAGCTCAAAATATGTTGTTAAAAATATACCTATTTCATCTTAAAAATATAATTTTTTAAGGTGTACTCATCTCACCGAGCCGTTGCACAAGCAGCTGGAGAATTCTTGAATGAGCGTCTCTTCCAACCCGGAGATCTGGATGCTGGAAAAACCAAACGAGGAAAACGTCGTTTACCCAACACGCCATTCATAAGAGACTTGGTGCAGTTCTTCATAGAATCCGAACTTCACGAACACGCTGCATATTTAGTAGACTCCCTTATCGAGTCTAATACTATGATGAAAGATTGGGAATGCATGACCGATCTTCTGTTGGAAGATCCAGGTCCGCATGAGGAGCCTTTGGATAACAGACAGGAGACGAGTTTGATTGAAATTATGGTTTGCTGTGTGAAACAGGCTGCGTCTGGAGAAGCTCCGGTGGGTAGAGGACCGACTAGGAAGATGTCATCATTGAAGGAAGTTAAACAGGTAAGTTATTTGTTCTCTTCACAATCAGTCACTTTTGTTTTAATAAAAGGTATATTTTACCACACTGAAGGATCTTTTATCCAAGAAAATAATTCTAAAATAGAAGATATATCTACTACACTGAATAACCATTTATCCCAAGCAAATAATTCCCAAAAGTTTATTACAATTTATTTATACAATTTATTACAATTTATTACAATTTATTACAATTTATTACAATTTATTACAATTTATTACAATTTATTACAATTTATTACAATTTATTACAATTTATTACTATTTATTACAATTTATTACAATTTATTACAATGTATTACTTCACTTTTGTTTTAATAAAAGGTATATTTTACCACACTGAAGGATCTTTTATCCAAGAAAATAATTCTAAAATAGAAGATATATCTACTACACTGAATAACCATTTATCCCAAGTAAATAATTCCCAAAAGTTTATTACAACTTATTTATTACAATTTATTACAATTTATTACAATTTATTACAATTTATTACAATTTATTACAATTTATTACAATTTATTACAATTTATTACAATTTATTACAATTTATTACAATTTATTACAATTTATTACAATTTATTACAATTTATTACAATTTATTACAATTTATTACAATTTTTTACAATTTATTACAATTTATTACAATTTATTACAATTTATTACCATTTATTACAATTTATTACAATTTGTTATAATTTATTAAAATTTATTACAATTTCTTACAATGTATTACTTCACTTTTGTTTTAATAAAAGGTATATTTTACCACACTGAAGGATCTTTTATCCAAGAAAATAATTCTAAAATAGAAGATATATCTACTACACTGAATAACCATTTATCCCAAGTAAATAATTCCCAAAAGTTTATTACAACTTATTTATTACAATTTATTACAATTTATTACAATTTATTACAATTTATTACAATTTATTACAATTTATTACAATTTATTACAATTTTTTACAATTTATTACCATTTATTACAATTTATTACAATTTGTTATAATTTATTAAAATTTATTACAATTTCTTACAATGTATTACTTCACTTTTGTTTTAATAAAAGGTATATTTTACCACACTGAAGGATCTTTTATCCAAGAAAATAATTCTAAAATAGAAGATATATCTACTACACTGAATAACCATTTATCCCAAGTAAATAATTCCCAAAAGTTTATTACAATTTATTTATTACAATTTATTACAATTTATTACAATTTATTACAATTTATTACAATTTATTACAATTTATTACAATTTATTACAATTTATTACAATTTATTACAATTTATTACAATTTATTACAATTTATTACAATTTATTACAATTTATTACAATTTATTACAATTTATTACAATTTATTACAATTTATTACAATTTATTACAATTTATTACAATTTATTACAATTTATTACAATTTATTACAATTTATTACAATTTATTACAATTTATTACAATTTATTACAATTTATTACAATTTATTACAATTTATTACAATTTATTACAATTTATTACAATTTATTACAATTTATTACAATTTATTACAATTTATTACAATTTATTACAATTTATTACAATTTGTTATAATTTATTAAAATTTATTACAATTTATTACAATTTATTACAATTTATTTCAATTTATTACAATTTGTTATAATTTATTAAAATTTATTACAATTTCTTACAGTGTATTACAATTTATTACAATTTATTACAATTTATTACAATTTATTACAATTTATTACAATTTATTACAATTTATTACAATTTATTACAATTTATTACAATTTATTACAATTTATTACAATTTATTACAATTTATTACAATTTATTACAATTTATTACAATTTATTACAATTTATTACAATTTATTACAATTTATTACAATTTATTACAATTTATTACAATTTATTACAATTTATTACAATTTATTACAATTTTGTTAGAGTTCATGAGAGTTATCATCTTAACTACTTACCTTTATGCATTTACTAGTTTACTAGAATGTTGAAGTTGTCAATTTAATTTTTATATAGCTTGTCAAATAAACTGTGTTACGGAAGTTCCTAGTCTTTCTTCTGCGTATACCCAACAGGTTATGGGCCCAGGCCTACACCTAACGCGCTAAGTTTATTATTCCTGACACAGTAGGTTATTCCAGTTAAAAAAAAAAAAAATTATGGCATCAAATTTCAACCAAGTGGAAAAGCTGTCCAAAGATAATTTTGATACCTGGAAAATCCAGATAGAAGCTATCCTAATAAAGAACGACCATTGGAGTCATGTTATTGGTGAAGTGAAGAAGCCAGACGATGCAAATCAAGCACTAGAGTGGAAGAAAACAGACCAGAAAGCTAGAGCAGATATAATTTTAGCTATTCAACCCTCCGAACTATGCCATATTAAATATTGCAAAACATCGAATGAGATATGGATTAAGCTTCAAGAAGTATATCAGTCTAAGGGTCCTGCCAGAAAAGCAACATTATTAAAGAAACTTCTTTTCTCAAAAATGAAGGAGGACGAAGATATGGCAGATCACCTTAATTCTTTTACGAATATTGTAGATAAACTGAAAGAAATGGGTACCGACGTTGCAGATGATATTTTAACCATTTTAATGTTGTACAGTATTCCTTCAAGTTATGAAAATTTTCGTTGCGCTATAGAAACGAGAGATGAACTTCCTAAACCAGATGTTTTAAAAGTAAAACTATTGGATGAATTCAACGCACGAAAAGAAAAAGAGTATTGCGGAGACCAAGATCAAACGCAGAACGCTCTTTATGCCAAAACAAACTGGAAGACAGGTTCAAACAAATACAACATTGAAAGTTTTAAAAGTAATAAAAATGATCAATTTAAGAGGAAATTTCCATATAAATGCAACTACTGCCAAAAAGTAGGTCACAAAGGTTCCCAGTGCAGAAAAAGAGAAAAAGACAAGCAACAATATAATGCATCTACGGCAGAAGAAGATTTTATGATCAGTACTGAAGGCTGCAATTTTGAGATTCAAGAAAGAACGAGTGTAGCAACGTCTTATCAAGCAAATCAGAGGAATACAGGGCAAGATAAATGGTGCCTAGATAGTGGAGCAACATCCCATATGTGCAATGACTTGGCAAAGTTTGTAAATTTTAAGCCATTAAATGGCCAAAAAGTGCGTCTTGCAGACAATAATACTACTAACTTTTTGGGAAAAGGGACAGTGAAATTACTGATAGACAGCGGCCCATTGGGAACCAAGAAAATTAGTCTAGAAAATACTTTATATGTTCCTGAGTTAAAAACTAATTTAATTTCAATATCAAAAGCTGCGGCAAATGGTAGGCAAACACGTTTTTTGAGAGACCATGCAGAAATCATTAATCCAAGTGGAGAAGTTATAGTGCGAGCTAGTAGAAATGGTCAACTATATTACCTAAATGAACATGAAGAATCCTCAGCTGTCGCAGATACAAAGTCAGAACTACAAATTTGGCATCAGCGATATGGACATATCAATGAAAAAGATTTGAAAATGCTTGCGTCAAAGGACCTAGTTCATGGAATGACATTCAACTTTTCAGAAAGCCTCCCTCCGTGTGAGACTTGTATTAGAGGCAAGCAGACAGCAATTAGTTTTCACAAATCAGATTCTAGAGCTGAAAATTTGCTAGAAATTGTACATTCAGACCTATGCGGACCGATGAGGTTAAAATCATTAGGTGGGGCAAGGTATTTTGCTACGTTCATTGACGACAAATCAAGATGGGTAGAAACTTACTTTCTAAAAACCAAAGATGAAGTAAAAGATGCTTTTCTCAAGTTCAAGGCGTATGTAGAAAGAAAAATTGATAAGAAAATCAAGGTGCTGAGAACAGATAACGGGTTAGAATACACTGGAGCAGAATTTTCAAGATTTTTAGACCAAACCGGCATAAAAAGACAATACTCTACAGCATATACACCACAACAAAACGGTGTGGCGGAACGAATGAACCGCACTTTAGTCGAAATGGCCAGGTGTATGCTCCTAGATTCAAACTTACCAGAAACTTTTTGGGCCGAAGCAATAGCGACCGCTGCATTTATCAGAAATAGATCACCATCGCAGAGTTTGCAAAATACAACACCTTTTGAACTTTGGAATAGAACTAAACCACAAATTTCACACTTAAAAATTTTTGGATCACAAGCTTTTGTCTTAATAAAAACTCCAAGTAAAGGAAAATTTGACTGTAGATCCAAAACTTGTATTTTTGTCGGATATTCGTTAGAATCAAAAGCTTATCGTTTATGGGATCCAGAAAAACGAAAAATCATAACCAGTCGAGACGTTAGATTTTTGGAAAACCCCAGAAATATCAAAATTACAGAAAAAGAACCAACCATCCCTGAGAATTATGTAATTTTTGAATTTAAAAATGACGAGTCACCAAATTTAACGACATATAATATTCCTCCAGACATATTGATTCAAACCACTGCAGAAAAACCTTCAGATGAAACACAAACAGATGAAGAAGAAGTTGAAGAAAAAACAGATGCACTACCGAAATCTTTTAAAAGAGGTCCAGGACGTCCAGCTATTATAAGAGATGGATCAAAAGGAAGACCTAAAAAGAAATTCAACATCGTAGAAGTAGTTGAAGAAACTCAGCTAGTTACTTCCGATCCAGATAACCCCACAGTGAAAGAAGCACTAGAAGGAGAACACGCAGAAGACTGGAAGCGTGCAATGCACGATGAATTCTATTCACTACTTTCATGTAATGCGTGGATCCTAGTAGAGAGACCAGAGAGTAGGAAGATAGTAGGATGCAGGTGGGTTTTAAGAACAAAATATACAGCTAATGGTGAAGTAGAAAGAAGAAAAGCACGACTTGTTGCCAAAGGGTACACTCAACAACCTGGTGTAGATTACCACGAGACAACATCACCAGTTACTCGACAAAGTTCCATTCGCTTGTTACTTGCCTTATCCGTTGAATTAGGCCTAATTTTGTACCAAATGGATGTCGTTATGGCCTATATTAATGGAGATCTCGAAGAAGAGATTTATATGGAACAAGCTGAAGGTTTTATTGTGCAAGAAGAAAAAGACAAGGTGTATCTCTTAAAAAGATCACTTTACGGACTGAAACAGTCAGGAAGACACTGGTACAAGAAATTAGACCAGTACCTTCAGTCTATTGGTCTTAAACCAATAAACGCTGACAAATGTGTCTATATCTCCAAAGAATCTTCCACATTTCTTATTCTTGCCGTCTATGTCGACGATTTAGTTGTAGCGACAAAAACAGAAGAAACTTACCATAAATTAAAACAAAATCTAACATCTAAATTTAAAATAAAATACTTAGGTTTACTACATTATTGTTTGGGAATTGAATTCAAACAATCTTCTAATTGGATATCAATGTCCCAAAAGAAGTATATTTCAGATATTTTAACAAAATTCAACATGCAAAACTGCAGGCCATCTGATACTCCTATGGATGCAAATTTGAAATTGACCAAGGACATGGGTCCTACAAACGAATCCGAGACAGCAAAAATGGCAAATATCCCTTACCGTCAAGCAGTTGGTTCGCTGATGTATTTAGCCGTTTCTACACGACCTGATTTATCCTATGCCGTGAGTGCCCTAAGCCAGTTTAATTGCAACCCAGGTCCAATTCATTGGGTAGCCGTAAAACGTGTTTTAAGATATTTAAGAAAAACTGAACATTTTGGACTTATTTTCAAAAGCACACACACATCACTCCATGGCTATGTAGATGCCGACTGGGGAGGAGATCCAAACGATAGAAGATCGTACACAGGTTTTGTGTACTTTTTAGGTGGAGCTGCTGTTACATGGGAAGCTCGAAAACAAAAATCAGTAGCACTATCCAGTACGGAATCAGAGTATATGGCGCTATCGGAGGCAGCAAAAGAGGTAGTATTCTTAAGAAATTTTTTGAAAGAAGTTGGTTTTTCAAAATATTTAGATCGTCCGTCAATCGTCTATTGTGACAATCAGGGAGCCAGAAAATTAACACAAAACCAAGTCCATCATTCACGAACCAAACATATCGACATCCGACACCATTATGTACGAGAAGTATATGACAAGAAAGAAATCGAAATTGAATATATCCCGACACAGAGTATGGTGGCTGACATTTTCACAAAGCCCCTTTACAAGCCAAGCTTTCAAACTCACGTCGGATCACTAGGAGTTAGGCTTTTAGATACCTCTCATTAAGAGGGGGTGTTAGAGTTCATGAGAGTTATCATCTTAACTACTTACCTTTATGCATTTACTAGTTTACTAGAATGTTGAAGTTGTCAATTTAATTTTTATATAGCTTGTCAAATAAACTGTGTTACGGAAGTTCCTAGTCTTTCTTCTGCGTATACCCAACAAATTTATTACAATTTATTACAATTTATTACAATTTATTACAATTTATTACAATTTATTACAATTTATTACAATTTATTACAATTTATTACAATTTATTACAATTTATTACAATTTATTACAATTTATTACAATTTATTACAATTTATTACAATTTATTACAATTTATTACAATTTATTACAATTTATTACAATGTATTACAATTTATTACAATTTATTACAATTTTTTACAATTTATTACAATTTATTACAATAATTAATTATGCTCTTTAATGAATGAACACTTTCTCTATGCATTATGTTTCCTTTTAATCGCCCAATAGATAATTCTAAGAAAAACATTACTTTTATTCCCTAGAGATTTGAATTACAATATACTTATACCATACAAATGAAAATACAGTCAACACCGTAACAACCTTTAAGTGGTTTCTCATATTTTTTTAATATTTATTTTCCTAAAGTTCATAAAATAGCATATAAATCACGGGTCTGAAGTATCTTCTTATCCCTCAATGAATTGTAGCCCTTTCTCTGGTCGAACTACAAACTTTTCGCCACTTCACTCCCTTGATGTATAATAATACTGCTCTATAAAATCATTATTTGTAGGCCGGAGAAGACAAACAAAAGTTAACGGAACATTTCATAGTAACTTTGCCACCTTTACTTGACAAGTATTCTGCCGATCCAGAAAAATTGGCCAATTTATTGAGCATACCTCAGTATTTCGACTTAGACCTCTATACTAGTGGCAGGCAAGAAGGTTCACTCCAAGCACTTTTAGGCAAACTGAAATATATCGTTCAAGTTCATCATGAACCAGAAGTAAGTTCTATTTCATTAATTCGATTTAATATAGTTAACAGATTGTTAATTACACTGACAGTTGACATATGTAAATTGTATTCATTGTTTTTATTAGGTTTTAGAAACTTTAGCTAAAACTCTAGAAACTCTGTGCACAGAAGGTCATTCTATCTTTACACGATGCGACGTTGCCAGATCTACAATAATTGACATGATTGTGGCCGCTTATAGAGAAGCCATAGACGATTGGAGAAATTTATTACTCGGAGAAGAAACACCAAATGCAGATGAAGTATTTAATGTCGTTAGTACTCTAAAGAAGGTGTCTCTTTTTTACGCCTGTCATAATTTAAATGGTTGGAGCTTGTGGAATAGTATGTTCCAGGATATTAAGGTATGTAAAAAAACTATTGTGTCGTAGATATATAATAACATTTATTATTTGTAGGATACCGAATCACCTTTATCGCACGAGGCTTTAAAATACTGTTTGTGTTCGTGTTATTACTTCCTACTGTGGGGTCTTAGAGATCTTGAAGTTGCCGTTGAAGGAGGTGGACTGACACATTCCGGCCTTCAAGACATGAGAGATAAATTGGATGAGTTTATTGAGGCTTCGCAAATGCTTATTAGGTCATCGCCGCATATTACCATAAAGGTAACAAATTTTTTTCTCAACAAATTTTTTCTCAACTCCAATTATTTGATTCCCTTATCACAAATTACTACAATCTTAAATTGGAATGTAGAAAATGAAAGAGATTTTAGTAAAATAGTTCATTGTATAAAGCAAATGAATTTTAAAAAAATTAAAAATTGTTTAGCCAGTTATAATTGGAACAATGTCTAAATAAAATAATGATCGTAAATATACCACATATTCTGGGTTCAAAAATAGATAATTTAAACCTTAACCTATGTACAAAGGTGCAAATGTTGCTCTAAAACATTAATTTTTGCAAATTTATACAGGGTTGGCCAAACCTCTGTCGTAGTTCTATAACTCCTACTATGCAAATCTTAACAATTTATTTGATATATACCTGTCAATGGTGGCCAATACCAAATATCCCAAAATTATTTTCTTGTGTACAGGGTGGCCCAATAGTAAATTAGAAAAATCACTTAATTTTTTTTAAATGGAATGACCCAACTTTTTTTACAATTTTAGGTACTCTATGGTCACTAGTACATACCCACAAAATATTGTTTTTAACATCCCACCCCTTTCGCAGAAAAAAAAAATTACCAAAAAATATTACATTTTCAGACGCCTATTAAAATATGCAGTGCTCTCCCGAATTTGATGTTAGAATTTAAAAAACTACGATTGTATAAAGCCAATAGACCAAAGATTTTTTTGGACCAAGTTTGAATTTTTTATTTTGTACAGGGTGGTCACAAATTAATTTCACTTTCCAAAAATTTCTAGGGAAATTTTTTAAAATTTTTCAAATGTATTACCCTGTATTTCTATTCATCAACTGAAGGAGAATTTCATACCCTTCCACTTCCCTATGTACTTTCCTATACCTATCTTTCGCCGTTATAAAATAAATTGAAAAGGAAGAAAATTACGATAATAAAATTTATTTGAAATTTATCCTAAAACATAAATTTACATTTTATTAACCGACTTCAAAAAAGGAGGAGGTTATCAATTCGTCGCGATATTTTTTTTTTATGTATGTTCAGCGATTATTCTTTAACACGGTGTCCGATTTCAATGATTCTTTTTTTGTTAGAAAGGGGGTACTTCAGGGGTGGTCCCATATAAATTTACTCAAAATCTAATAATTGGGTCCACGAGAAAATCCTCAAACTCTTCATTTTTTATGTATGTTTAGCGGTAATGCTTTACCACCTTGTCCGATTTATATGATTCTTTTTTTGTTAGTAAGGGGGTACCTCGGGGGTGGTCCCATATAAATTTGGTTAAGATGTGGCGATGGCATCTGCACGTTTTTGAAGTCGGTTTTTTTTAATTTTTAATTTCTAATACTTGTAAAAGATGCTCAAAATGTCTGCCATTTTCTCTAATGCATACATTTATTCGTTGGGCGAATGATCGAGAAACGTTTCTAAGCATATCAGGTGTAATGGAATGGAAAGCTTGCACTATCCTTTCTTTCATATTTTCAGGTGTTGTAGGTGGCGTAAGATAGACTAGATTTTTAATATAACCCCACAAAAAATAATCGGGTTTTGTTAAGTCAGGTGATCGAGCTGGCCATTTTTTTGGACCATTTCTACCAATCCATCTATTTGGAAACTTTTCATCTAATTCATCTGCCACTTCGCGTAAAAAATGCGCTGCTGCCCCATCATGTTGGTACCACATTGTTAGTCTTACAGCAAGGGAAATGTTTTCAAGTAAAGTAGGAAGATGATTTGCTAAAAAATCTAAATACATCAGACCATTTAAGTTGCCTTCAAAAAAATACGGCCCAATAACATGATCCCCAAATATACCTCCCCAAACATTTACACTCCATCTTTCTTGGCTATGTGTTCTGATGATGTTAGGATTTTCCGTGGAATAATAGTGGAAATTATGTCTATTAACGAATCCGTTCTTGTGGAATGTAGATTCATCAGAAAACAGCACTCTATAAAAAAAAATGGATTTTGTTGCAGTTTAGTTTGTGCCCAGTTACAAAACACCATTCTACTATCAAAATCGGTGTCTTTCAGCTCTTGATGCAATTGTATTTTATAAGGATGATATTGATGCTGTTTTAAAATCCTTCTAACGGATGTTCTACTTATACCTGCTACTTCGGCAATCTTTTTTTGACTTACATGAGGATCTTCTATCGCTGTCAAAATTACAGATAATTGGTTATCATTATCAGTAGCACGTTTGTCAATTATTGGTTTTTTATAAGCAACATTTCCTGTTTCGGTAAATCTTTCATGTAACTCTTCAAAACTTTTTTGATCAGGGATGCGTCTATCGGGATATCGTTGATGATAAATTCTTTTTGCCAATAAACAATTTCTGTCGGATTCTCCCAAAACATAGACCATGTCAATTAATTCGTTTTTCGTAAAATTCATTATTAATAGAAGAATTATCGCGATCAGTAAAAATAACTTGACACTTCATTAATAAATAATCTGACACTTCATTAAGACCCAGCCTACTGATTGAATGTTCACTTTCAATAAAACCACTGGTAGAAATTGGATTTTTGATAGATCAATGTCTTTTTGATAGATCAATGTCTTTTTGGAATTTACTTTTAAACGACGACAGATAGGTATAGGAAAGTACATGGGGAAGTCGAAGGGTATAAAATTCTCGTTTCATCGATGAATAGTAATACAGGGTGTTCTATTTGACAAATTTGAAAAAAATGTCCTAGAAATTTTTGGAAATTGAAATTAATTTGTGACCACCCTGTACAAAATAAAAAATTAAAACTTGGTCTAAAAAAATCTTTGGTCTATTGGCTTTATACATTTGTAGTTTTTTAAATTCTAACGTCAAATTCGAGAGAGCACTGCATATTTTAATAGGCGTCTGAAAATGTAATATTTTTTGGTATTTCTTCTTTTTCTGCGAAAGGGGTAGGATGTTAGAAACAATATTTTGTGGGTATGCACTAGTGACCACAGAGTACCTAAAATTGGAAAAAAGTTGGGTCATTCCATTTAAAAAAAAAAATAAGTGATTTGCCTAATTTACTATTGGGCCACCCTGTACACAAGAAAATAATTTTGGGATATTTGGTTTTGACCATCATTGACAGGTATACTTCGAATAAATCGTTAAGATTTGCATAATAGGAGTTATAGAACTACGACAGAGGTTTGGCCAACCCTGTATAGTAGTATACAATGTCCTACAATAAACCAGCAGTAGCTGTATTAATTTGTATTCATTTTTTATTTTCAAGACCATTTTGACCCCCAACTTTTTTTATAAGAATATTTAGTTAAAAATGGAACGCCACTGGAATCACACATCTATTTTAAAACTTTTTTTTAGAATTTGTCTGTGACAATCTTAATTTGGAAGATACAGCCTTTTGAAATGTTAATTTTAAAATATTCAATTTAAACTTTACAGGTTGGCCCAGTTTATGTCAGAATTTTACCAACTAATAGTTTGTACGATAAAACATGGTGCAATTTTGTTTCCTTTTTGATATACAGGGTGTTTTAATACCTGAAAAAGGCTTTGTGAACGGTTTTAGTGAAATTTTCACAGTCTGTTGACAACTTTATGAAGTGTCTTTCGAACATGTCACAGTTGATCCAGTAATTCCAGAGGCGTGCTCACATGGCACTTCAATTAGTTTTCGACATAAAAATATCACACTGTAAGTAAGTAAGTAAGTAAGTAAACCAAATTAACTTCAAAATTATTGTTTTTAAATGATTTATCACCCTGTATACCATAACATCCTGTATAGCCACTTCACAAAACACGTGTTAACATGGTTTTATATGTTTTATTAAATATCTCGTAAACAATGTTAAAAATCTAATAAAGGAACAAAATAAAGAATGTCTAACGGGCATAATGCCTACTTGCTTGTCTTCGCTCGATCGAAATTCTAGTGTTTCCGTTCTCTCTTGAATACTGCGACGGGAGCAATGTGGTATCGTTGACCCCAGTGGCGGCGATCTCCAAATTCGTGGACTCTAACAGTATAGTATATATTTTTATTTTTTCATAATTTTTTAAATGAACTAAATATTTATATTTTATTTTATTTTGTTTTCGAGGAAAATATTAAAACTAATAATTTTGCACGTCTCTGAATACCTGAATACTTGTACATAAAGAAAGCAAATTTGGATCACAGTTTATTGGACACAAAGTTTTAAAATAGATGTGTGATTGCAGTGGCGTCCTGTTTTTAGTTAAGTATTCCTCTAAAAAGAAGTTGGGGATTAAAGGAGTGTTGATCCCCTCTGAAAACCCATAGAAAATCAAAATAAATGTAAGGAACTCTGTATTTCATATCGTACATATCATATCATTTAAATAATCTTATTAAAACGACTAAATTAAATTATCACAAAGAGCAAATAGATAAGAATAGAAATAACCAAAAATTTGTGGAAAATAATAAATTAGATATGGCTGAATCTTTTAATGATTATTTTATAAATAATAAAGCGCCCGGTAAAGATGGTATTAAAGAAATAGCCAGAGAAATATCCACTCCTTTATGTTTTCTTACAGACAATATGATTTAAGAGGGAACATGTCAATCTCAATTTAAATGAACATACATTGAACATAATTGAGAAATTGATAATTTAGTTGGGGTTTACATTGTGTCTTTATTTTTATTTAATTTAATTAAAATGTATAGCTATTTTCACTTTTAGTATGTAGTTATTTATTTTACAGTAGCTCGCTAAATAAACTTAAACAAGCCAAGGACAGTCATTTAAGCTTTGTGGATTACTTATGTTTATTTTTCATTAAAGTTTTATTTAATTATATGATACATTACTGCCTTATGTCAAATAAACATTGTATACAGTTAAATAATTTTATATTTTTTTAATAGGAAGAGGCATATGTAGGACTCTGCGATCTGCTCATAGTTTTTAGTGAACAATTACACAGTAGCTCACAATCTTTAAGCGAATTAGTCTGTAGTCCTGATAAAAATCTGCAGGCTCTGTTAAATGAGTTCGTACAGACGTAAGTAATAAGTAAATCTTTTTTTTTTTTTTAGTTTTCTAATATAAAATATTTTTAGGTATGTTTTCGTCCCGGAACAAGACGCCGAACACGACGAACTCCGTATCGAAGGCCTACACAAACGCCGTAATTTCTTAGCTGCCTTTTGTAAACTGATTGTTTACAACATCATGCCGACCAAAGCAGGCGCCGACGTCTTCAAACACTACGTTAAATATTACAACGAGTACGGGGACATTATCAAGGCTACTTTAAGCAAGGCCAGGGAGATAAATAAGGTTAATTGCGCTCTTACTATGTGCCTAAGTTTGAACATGATGTTCAACGAGGTGCAGAGGCAGAGCGCCGGCAGAAATACCAGGCAGCATGAAGAATTCTTCGCTTTGAAGGTAATCATAATCTTAATATTTTGTAATTTGTTCAGTCTAGCGTTATAAGGCCGATCGGATTCGCTATTGCCATTTGTATTCCTTTATATTATAACTATATGCTAAATAGGATAACATTAGTACTGTATATTTTGATATGGAAACACTAAGTTAATTTCTACTATTCATTCTTCTGCATTTAAAGGTACATGTATTTTTATCACTCGACAAACATCAGACATATCAAAACCATGCAGTACATTTAATTATCCTTGCCTGCAATATAATCTTTCTATAACAAAATCAACAATTCAAATGAACGAAATTATAAAGTTTGCCATATTTTCAATTCAAAATTTATTCTAAAAATTTCGAGCCCCACGTTGGTTGGTGACACTTGGTATGGAAACCATGGTTTTAATAAATTTCTAAAAGCTTGCCCAAGACTCTCAAAAAGGGTGGTTCATTATCTAATTGTAAAAACAGCACTAACAATAAAACACTATTTTCTCTTCTATCTTGACTCTTCCCTGCTTTCCTGTGCTTTCTCTCTCTGAAATCTATCTGGAAACTGCTCTGCTCCGCCTCTTTCCTCGGTACTCTGCTCTCCTGCTTCCTCAGGCATTGATCTCCTTCTTTATTTAACCTTTAATTAAGTTACCTTGATCTGGGTTCCGGGACATAGTGGTGTGGAGGGCAACGAAAAAGCCGACGCACTTGCTAAAAGAGAAACCGAATATGTGTTCATAGGACCAGAACCATAGCCATTCCTGGGCATTGCAAAAAGCACTGCCAAAGGAATTATCTCAAAATGGACGGAGGGTGCAACACTCACGAACTGGAGAGATACCCCAGGGCTAACCCATTCGAAGGTGTTTATAACCAACCCTTCCATTAACGCCTCTGCTCAGATCCGAGAATGGAGTAGGAGAGATCTACGCATTTTCACTGGACTGATGACAGGACACTGCCGTCTGGGCAACCACATGATGATAGGTCTGCAACAAACATCGGACTTTCGATTCTGCAGCGTGGAGGACGAGTCTGCAGAGCATATTTTATGTACCTGCTCCGCTCTGGAAAGAACCAGGTTCCAGATCTTCAGATTTACCCGACTGGAGCCTACCGACTTTAAAGAAGTCTCACCCAATTCAACCATGACCTTTATCAAAAGGTGTAGCTTGTACGGTGAACTATGAGTTAGTCATGAGCCACAATAGACCCATCTGGGTCGCAGTGGAAGGCGATGAGATCATCCCACTCATTTTCAACCTAACCTAACCTTTAATTAAAATCTATTTACCTTTTTATAACACTATTCAATTCTTCCAACTTTTAACATTTTTAAACATTCCAAATACCTTCTAACAAATTCCAAACCATTCAAAAATTCCTTCTAATATATTTTTTTTTCATGACAATTAATCCTCTCTATTTCGACAATACAAAAATAAAAAAATCACATGAGATTCTGATTTATATTCTTGTTATGGAAACCTTCAATTTAATTAAATTTTTAATATCTTCGTTTTTGAAAATTTACAAAATAATAAATACCTACTTAATTATCAAATAATTTTTATTTTTTCTTTCGTCTACCTCTTATATTATCCTTTGTTTATTTTCTTTTCTGTATATATTTGAAATTTTTCTATTTTTCCAATCGTTTCTTCCTTATTTCATTTTAATTCTTGAAAATCTTCCTTTATGTCATCCATTTTGTTTATTATTTTTCTCTCTTTCTTCATTTATTCTTTATCTTGTAAATTTTCATGCATTTTTATGTTATTTATCTTGTCTATCTTTCTTCATTTCTTCTCAATATTTCTCTATTTCTTTCCTCTTATTTTATGGAGCAATTGGGTTAAATCTTCCATTTTGATTCCTTCTTTTTTTTTTATTTCACAACATTCTTTTCTAACATTGTTGTCCCCGTATTATCCTGTTTTTGTTTTGATTCTCCTTTTTCTTCAGTGAATTGTATCTTCTAAATTTGCTCATCCATATCTCCTTGTATAGTTTCTTCTACTTTAAATTTCCTTCATCAAACCAACCTTCTTTCCCCCTCTTAAATCCATTAAATTTTATCATTATTTTATTACTTTAACAATTTAAATTTAAAACTTTCAGCACCTTCGTCTACTATACATACCTATGTTATTTTAATTTCTTCCTTTTATTTTTATCATCTATTTAACATGAATCCTCTTTTACTGAAACATACACAAATGAAGGAAATAATAAAGAGTTTCACCCAAATTTTGAATTATTCATGTAATTCATACCAAAAATTGAATCCAAAAATGTTGAGCCCCACGTTGGGCTCTACTTGATATGGAAACAACAATTCAGTTAAATTTCTAGTATCTTGCCCAAAATCTAAAAAAACACATTTTTTCTGCTCACATCTGCTTTCCCTCTGATATTTTACTTTTTGTCTACCTTGTTGTATGGTCTACCTGTTCAATCTTCTTTGGTTTATCTGCTCCTTCATTTCAAATTAATACATTCTAATACAAATTGTTTTTTGCTTTTTTACACTTTATTTAAATCTCTCTGTATATCAAAACAACTTTAATAACTCATCTTTCCATAAAAAATCCAAAATACCTGACTAAAATTCTTTCTTCTTCTGACGATACAAAAAAAATCAATAAAATTTTCGGCAACTTCACCACCCCCACCATAGTGCATATATTTTTGTGTTAATTTTCATATCAATTTATTACTGTGTAGGAATTATGATTATTCTTCAATAACTTTATTTCATTTTGTAGGAATTGGCCAAACGGTTCGCGTTGTCCTTTGGTTTGGACGCCGTTAAAAATCGCGAAGCAATTACGGCTCTGCATAGAGCCGGTATCATTTTCGCCGTCACGGGTACCGAAAATATCACCGAAGATCCGACTGGACCGCCTCCGAATATATCGTTCCTAGAAATTTTGACGGAATTCACGAACAAGCTACTTAAACAAGATAAACGAGTTGTTATGGGGTTTTTGGATAAAAGAATTACTACAGGTAAATATTTGTTGTTTATAAATATATGTGGTAGCTGTGTGATGCACATTTCCCTGTATCTTTACTACTATTAAGTTTTATGGGTACTTGAGTAAATGAAACGCCTTTTTAGGTATAACTAGAAAACGTATATTGATATTAAGAGTTATTTATTACAAATAAAAGTTTTTTATTCGGTCATTTTTGCAAGTGACTTTTGACAAGTGAGTGCTGACAACTGACTTGACAGAATATTGTCAGTGACAATTAACAATTCTTCTTACTGTAATATGACAGTAGGTTGTGCAGTAATTCCTTTAAGATTAAGTGCACCTCTATAATGTTACTATATTTTGTAGGAATGCCCAGCAGCAGAGGCGAAGACTGGCAACCGCTCCTCCTTTACAGAAATTCCCTTCTTCACGGAGAGTCCGATCAACTTCCCACAACCAGCAAAAGGGCGTATGGCAGAAAAAGGCACAAGTCACCGGATTCTGACAATGAAGACGACAATCTGTCAGATCAAGACTTTCCCGGTAACTTGTATGGATAAGTTCAAAATTCTTGGTGTATTTGTTGAATACTTATGTTTTTAATATAAAGTGTATTTTAATAATTTTAGTTATGAACTGTATAATTTTTTTATAAAAATAATAAAATGAAAATAGTATATTAATGCATTTTTGGTTTTTTTTTATATAATTTTTTTTTGTGTATGCTGAAGGAATCTGAACCAATTCAAGAAACAGGTTTGTTTTTAATAGAAAAAATTAACATAATTGTTTCTATACAACTCTGCTTTTGATTTATTATTGGTAGTGGGCACAACCGCTGCCCCTGTCTGTTTTACTATCGTAACAACACCAAAGATCTTAGATTGTTTTCTTTTGCGCAAACAAAAAACCACTAACTTATACATCAACACAAACATTTCTGCAAAACTTATAAAACTGAGACCCATTAATAATGAAATGAATCCTCCACAACTACCTAAAACAAAATACAAATCGACATTTGGCATTTAACAATTAACGGTAGTAAATATTACTTACTGACTAATTCGTACCAATATTGCACCAAATCAATCTTTAAAGAATCTCCGAAAGATCGTTCAAAAAATACATTCACGTAGGTGATGTTCGTGCTACAAAAAAGAAATTAACAGATGACAAAGTTTATGTGACACAGTGTGGAGCTAGAGGCGGTATGTGGCTGAAAGTGTATTGTCTGGTTTCTTTTGATAAGTGCTAAAAACTAGAGTCTTCAATGATACCCGGGTCTAGTAAAACAGGAAATTTAATGGAAATGGCTATTTTTAGGGTCAAAATATTTTTAACGGTAAATAAAATCTAAATACACATTGTGGAGGCACAAGCACTTAGTAACAAAATATTGTTTAAAACTTAGTCACACCAGATGTAACCAAAGCAAAAGAATCGTGATACAAAGTTACGTCTTACGATGTTTTTTATGTCAAATGAAATAAAATGCGTTGTTGTCAGATGTTATTTCTCTTTTATATTTTCAAATTAGAAAAAATATTTATATCTCTATTTTATAGTTTGTCAACTAAGCCTGGAATTTCCAACGCATTGAGATGAGCAAAATAGAATTTGGTCATCCTTGCCAACAATTTGCGAAAATGTACACCATTAAATTATTTATAAGACTCAGAATTTTTTATACTCTTAAATATGCAAACAGAGATTTGAAATCCTCGAAAAAGTCAGACAAAACCAAAAGAAAAATTAAAGTTTTGTCCCATTTATAAATATTGATTTTTTTTCATCATATTTTTGAATGCTTTGTAAAAAAAAAAGTTATTTTTCTTTGTAGTTCTATTTCTTAACTATTCCAATGGTCCAACTAACGTATTTTCGTAATCACAATAAATAAATTATTATCATGGTCCAACAAACGCGCACCTCATCGCCTTGTGAGGGAGCCGGTAAAGAAGCCGCTGCGTACATTCGTATCTGGTCTAGGTAATCTGGGCCATGGGACAGCGCCCTGCTTGTGACGTATAATCCATCGCATGTGTTCATCCCTTGCTAAGCGATATTGTCGTTGGCCTTGTTTTTCGCATCATAATGAGAGATAAAACAACAGAGGCAAACATTTACTGTGCCCATCTTAAATTCGGAATGTCGCTCAACGCCCGGTCGTCCAGTGTCGTGCCAACGCGGTTTGCGCTGAATATTAGATAAAATAATAATAGGCATTGAGGAAAATATAAAATATGTAAGTTTTTTTTGTTTATTATACTAGGGCATGTGCCCAAATGCCCTTACGGGCAAACCGCCACTGCTCAAATAGTTTTTGTAAGCAGAATTAGACAGATACTTAACTTCAGCTCTTAGGTTACTAAATTGGATGTAGTGTTCAGGATTTTTACTTTTTTTTGTATTTATTCCATGCTTTAGATTTCAAATTGAGTTTTTTAATTATCTCCAAGTTGAACCAGTCAGGATAATGATTGTTCGGTGGTATCTTTAAAGGAACGTTTTTGTCGAAGATATTACAGAGTCTCTCGTAAAACATTTTAATTGCTTCATCCACGCTGCCGAACTGATATAGATGGGTCCAATCAATTGTGAGTAGATCTTGATATAAACTGGGAAAATGAGCTTTTTTAAAATTATATTCTTTAGAGCATGATGGAGATAATGTCTTTAGAGTAGTCTTAATGGAAATATCAACAGAAAGGGCAGGGTGTTGTGGATCTAGTCGCAAGAGTTCAGATGTTTCAGAGACAGTGCATGCATCAATGTTTGAGAGAACGAGGTCAAGGATTCTGTTATTACAGTTGAGTATTGTATTATGTTAAGACATATTAAAAAAGTTTAGTAAATTCATTAAACAAGATATTTTTCTAGAATTATAACATTTTGGTCGTAAACTAAGTGTATAGACATGAAAATATCGATAAAAAGATCATATTCATTAGAACATATGAGCGGAGGAAAGTAGATGCAGAAAACAAACATTTGCTTTACCCAATTTCAGTTTTATAGATGTTACATCAATAGATATAAGAGGTTCAAAAATATGTTCGGCGTCAAAAATACTGGACGATAATTGTTTTTTACAGCAATTAAGCTCCTCCACCTAGTGTTGCAGACATTTTATGGAATTTTCTATCAGTTCTGTAAACATTGTAATGGTTTGGATCAAAATAGTCCTTGATTTAGTCGTTTAGCCAGGTCTCAGTGAACCTAATAATGTCATATTGAGAGGAAGTTGATGAGTTAAGGTAAAGATCTCGAATTGAGGACGCCTTGAAGATCTCTCACGTAAGAAAGGCCTCAAGAATCGATGATTAATTCCACTCTTACGAGTCGCGTCACCGTTTTTACCAGAGAGAAACTGATAAATATTTTTTAAATGTATTCCATTATTATCTTTCAACTAGCTCACTTCGGCATGAGTTAAGAGATTGCCGTAAATTGCTAATATATTTTTTGAGATAAAGGTCATTTTCAAAATTCTAATGACTTTTGTGAACTTTAATATTGTTCCAAAATGACAAAGCATTTTCTCATAGATACTTCAATTACTTTCTTTATAAACCACATAAATCACCCTGTATAAATCATATATAATAAACATAACAATATATTACCGAATTTAAAAATCGTCTTGAAATTGAAAGCCGACTCTGGCAACAGTAAATGTAATTTAACGGTTGCAGTAATTTAACTCTTTCACACTCGTAAATCTGTTTCACTCTCGCTAACATAAGTATAGTACCCAGACAGCACATTGGACGTACATTCGATATTCAATTTTGGATGTCTGGACGTTCAAAAATGATTTATTTCTGGACTTCCGACGTCCAATGGACGTCCAGTGAAGTATACGAATAGCACACGTTTGACCACTCATAGAACGTCCAATTCTGAATTATATTTGGACTTTGAATACTGGACATTCAAAAAATGTCAATGTATATTCCATTGAAACTACATTCCCACTTTTTTTTACACAACCGCAACTCAATATATACTATTTTATATTATTAAAAATTTATTATTTTCGCAACCCGCTATACACCATTTGTTAATATCACCTGACCGGAGCAGGGATCGACCTCATGACACGTTCACTGTCGTTCTAGGCTTTCAAGCGCCAGGCGACCTCGACCAAGGAGCCACTTGAAAAATTCTTACTAAAAATACGGTTATAATAGAATAATATTTCAAACTTCCGCTGATAGAATGAAATGTAATAGATTTATTTGAATAAGGATAATTTCCTGACCGTAGCAGAATTTTATAAAAATAAAAATTTTCTTGGTGTATTCGGTCAATAATTTTATTTTATATCGTTAGCACAGCACTACATATGTTTTGGAAAACTTTGTTTTCATCTTTGGGTGCAGTCAAAATTTAAAAACATTAAAAAAACACATGGGGACGATTACAAACAGTTTAAAATTTATATAGATGGGTATTATCTGGTAGGATAAATAAATAATGACCTAAGATGGACGTCCGCTGGACGTCAAAATATTACTAAACTCAAAATTAAGTCCAAAAACAGACGTCCTCTGGGTATCGATATGCAGCTGTCAAATTAACGATCATAAACGGGCGTACACTGGATATCCGAATATGGATGTTCTGGCCCTCAAATGGATCTAAAATGGACGTCAATTGGACTATGTGCACTGTCTGGGTAAAAAATAGACCGTTCGCATCCACATGTGCGACAAATATGCCATCTTTCTCTGCAAAGAAATTCACAGGGAACATCAGGTGATATTTATTCAGCCAATCACGACACACTCACAATTGCAAGCCTTCGCATTTCTACTCGATAAAATAAACAATAAGACTCTTTCCGACTCCGATACTCCAACATCTTTGTTTTTTTATTCGGTCGCGTGCTCGACGTCATTCACTAAAAACACAAATCGAGAGATGTGTTAAACTTGCGGTTGATTATAAATCATATATTTGTACCCATATCATTTTAATATGTAAAGTTGTGAGCTGAGGCAAGTTTATAGTTTAAATAAAATTTCCACTAGCTATATTACTATACAGTCCACTGCTATCAGCGGATGGGAAGAAACATTTATTTCTGTGACGGCGACTGAGAAGATTTCAAAGTCGCAGAGAACAAATATTCTTGAGACGAGCACATTATTTTAAACCTTCACAAGGCTCTAGCAATGTTTTTGGATTACTATTGAAGTTAAGTCCAATTCCATAATGGATATTTAAAAAAAATCCATCAACCAGTGCGACAATTAAGTGCATAAGGTCTTATTAACTTTGTCGAGTTAGTTAATAGATCTGTTAAATATTCCTTATCAAATCGGCTCTAAGAACTTATTGACTTAATTGTCCCATAAGTAAATGGATCTTTTAAATATTCATTATGAAATCGGCCGTTATTAATGTTATTTTTAGCCAACTAACGACATCTATTTGGTTACGTGTGTTACGAGTATTATTGAAGACCCAATACAATGAACTTACGGATTTATTGCTATCGGTAAAACATCTACTGATACGAAATAAGTTTGATCTTTACAGACTGAAAAACAATGTCTACAATCGATAGAATTCTCCCTCTCAAAATTTAATGCTGGAGAGTCTTCATTTTCTGGATAATAACTGGTCCATTTTCCTGAAAAAAACAAATATTTAAAAGTTTAATTTTATTTAATCTAATATTAATTCCACACTATTGGTCTTGCTAGAATATTAAGAATAATAAGTTTTGACATGTCAATGATAAATCATAAGTCCTAAAGATTAACAGTGCTATTCTGTAAAATTTCAGTTGTAATTAACATAATGTGACGCGAAGCCAGCACTGTTCTTTGTTTATTACCGTATCCGTGACAGGAAGTCTAGCGCTGGCTACATCGAGACCCATCGCGAGACTCGAGAAACATAATCAAATGTTTTCCATCGCAGTCTGACTCGTGGAAAATAATTCCCGGAACTTCTAGTCAGAGTTGGTTCTTTTGAGAATGTTATATTTCTGTATAAATAGCGCGACTTGTCGACAGATGACAAGTTTTAATTTAAGTGTTAAATAGAAAAGACAAATTGTAATAAATAAATTAGAATTTTGAGTTATAATAGTGCCTAAGTATTATATAAATTAATTAGTTCGTTATAAATTATAAATAGTGTTTTAAATAAATAAACTATAAATAAATTAAACAAACGTTACAATAATGTTAGAGGTATAATAACATAATATTAAATGTCTTCTTACGGGGTGGGTGGCTCAGTGGTAGATTCTCTGCCTGCGGATCCAAGGGTCCCAGGTGTTCGAATCCCACCGTTGGCCGGGATTTTTTCATTTAATTTAATTATTTAAAATTAATTCTAATGCCTTGGTAGGATTCCCCACTCGACCATTCACTGTTGGGTACTAATTAACAGTGCTGTTCCTAAAGTGGCGCTGGGAAACAGTAACAAAGCCTACACAGAACACGAGGCTAATAACCGTAGCAGTTGATGTCGATGGCACAAAAAAAAATTCTTCTTTTTTCGTAGCCTGTAAATGAAAATGTTAAGCATTAATTAAATATTGAATTATTCTTTAAAATTTTGATCCATTTCATGATTAAATGTAATTTTTACAGATTTTCGCTTTGATATTAATTTGTAATAAAAGTTTAATATTCTGATTTTTCAAATTTTATTCACCTGGCAATAAATTTGTCTTTTGTCCTATAAAGGGTTAAATTCTAAAAAGTTTCTTATAAAATAGCACTATAAACAAATTATTTCAGACATCATCCACTATATTCGCCAGATTCAGTTTCCTGTGACTATTTTTGTTTTCTTAAATAAATGCCTACTTATTCTCAGAGCATTTCAAGGAAGAAATCGAAAACATTGAAGAATGCTTATGGAGTTTACTGAGTACTAGTGTACGCCCAGACCATAATCATTATTGAAAATTTGAGGAAAACATATATACATTTGCATGTTTCTAACATTTTTTTAAACATTCGTTTATCGTATATCTGCGACCGTCTCTATCTGTAACGTGTGAAGGGTGGGTTACCCCACGTCACTTAGGCACCTCCTAGCTCGTGAGCCAGCCTACAGTTTTAAAGTAGTTGACACCGTCGACAAGAGGTGATTCTCTTATATCGGCTGGTGTTAGTCGATACTCGCCGAACACAAATCTTCTAATAAATGAGAGCGTCGAGCAATCGTAGATGATATGTTCGATGGTATCATCTTCTTGTTCGCACCCCCTGCAGAGTACGGATTCTGACAGCTCCATGATATGGAAATGCTTCCGTACTTAGCAATGGCCAGTCAGAATGCCTGTGACTAGGCGCAGAACCTGTCTAGTCATAGGCAAGTATTTGTTTGCTGCAGTGTTGTCAGGATAACTTAAGAGCTCCCTGGCAACTCTGCAGTTTCTTGTTTTATCCCATCTTTCCTTGAATTTCACAATGGAATGTTCTTTAATTAGGTCTGTCGCACTACCGATTTTGTTAGGCCAATAGAAGGGCCAGGTCAAAAACGTATTTGGTTGTCTGCTTTCTTGGCCAGTTAATCAGCAAGACGGTTATCTTTTGATGCGGCGTGACCTTTGATCCATCTTAAGGTGACCACATTGTTGTATCTGCCATCTGCCACCATAAACTTTTATGTGTACTTACGATACAACATATATCAGTACCATTATAATTAAAAAATAATAAATTCAATAAAATATAACAGTAACTCACAATTTAAATACCATTATTTATTGATATATGATATGAAATACAATTTTTATTTTGAGGTTACTCTTAAGGCTCATAAAAAAGGGGATTAGGTGTGGGAGGGCGAATTCACCCTCACGCCCACCTACATTTAAAGGGGGGTGAAGTGACTTGTCCTTTGGGGGGTGGATTGTTTTTCATCTCAAAGTCCAATCCGTCGTACCCGAAGTTCATTTTTCTAAGTCTAGGGATTCTATATATCGACCTCCCCTGGGGTGGGGGTAGGTCCTAGAAACGTCGATAGGAGCCGGTCCTAACGCCGAAAGGCGCCGGTCTTAGCGACGACAGACTTCGGTCCTAGCGCCTACAGTTACCGGTCCTACCAGCGCCGATAGGCGTTGTTGCGGTATGTTTTTTAACAATTTGTAGTTCCAAAATAATTGAAAAAGCCAGAATTTGTTAACTATAATTTATTAATCTACTTATTAATGCGAGTCTGTAAATCATAAATATAGGTACATGAAGAAAGCACTCATACCCACAAAGAACGTAACGTTCCATGTGACATTACATTGTTCGTCTGACTCTGGCCCCTGCCTCTTTTTGTTATTCCAAGATTGCAGGAATAATTGTGTAGAAAAAACGAGCACGAGAATCTTGCAATATAAAATATATGTTTACTTAATACCATTTGCTTTTCAAAATATAAATCTATAGCTAATGAGTTTGTAACTTTGTACCTAATTCGATATTTTTTGCAATTCTTGACAAAATATCGAGTTTGTATACAAAGTTACAAATTTTGGTTGCTAAAAGTTTTTTGATGTTACTGCCTAAATTTAAATTAAAGGAAATCTGCATTACTAGTAAATTTTGCAATTCGTGCTCGTTGCCAGGCGCGTCGGCACAGTCAACGCACATGGAAAGTGTTCCAGAAATGTGTAGTAGAATTGTCGCTCGGCATAAGTTGTGATTGTCCGGGTACAAATTAGGAATTAACCAGTAATCAACAGGACGACGGTGCAAGAGTTGCAGAAATTATCTACTCACTGTACTGCTACTCCATCATTAGTAAATATAATATGTAAAAAGAGGCTTAACCAAAGTTGTCATTAGCATATAAATTTTTGCTGACAATTCCATTTTCAGAAGTAGTCTGCACGAAAAGTTTTTCCAAAACTGAAGTACTTGAGTAAGAGGCTAAGGAGTTCTTTCAGTCAAAACGGTCAAAACCGACAACATATACAAAACGACATATTAAATACAATAGAAAATGATGACGGCATTGACAGTTTATGGAAGAAACAATTTTTCATTTTTAATGAAACTAATAGCGGATTCGACTGGCTGCATTAATGCGCATTTAATTCGACTTTTTTAAGTGGTGTTTGTTCGACTGACAGAACCTAATTAGTTAAATGCCAATTATTGCATTCGAGTGAAATTGCTCGGTACCAAGGCATAGTGAAATTTTTGTTCGACTGGCAGTCGCTCTTGCTCAAAGTTCGAATTTTTTGGAACTGTACTTTTTTTCAGTGCCAGTGTCATTTTGGAGGTTAGGGATTATTTAATATTTTTAAATATATTACCATCTTTCTCTTTATTATTAGTGATAATGGAAAATCTTTGAAATTAATAGAGATATAATTTTTGGTTTGGCAACTATAAATAAATATCCTTAAAAATTTGTTAGAAATCTGAAATGTCAAGTGCTAACTGTGCCAGTCGAATAACGATAGAGACGCGCTACACCAATGTCGAACTCTAGCTCTTGCTTGCTGTGTGCACTGCTAGATATAAATTTGAATTATAAAAATGCTGCCCAAAATCAATTCAGAACCGAAAGCGCTTTGTCATCGAGCAAGAGCATTTGAGTCGAATCCGCTATAATATTTTGACTGCAAAACCAGAGATAAGGGAGATAAAGATAGGAAACGCCCATAAGAAGCCAATGCTAAACAACGACCAGCTTTATTGCAGTTAACATCTGACCCACTATGTGGCGCTTTCATCGATATCAAACAACACAGCGGGAAATTTAAAAACTTGATAATAAAGGTTGCATAAATATCGACTGCACTCTCATGTTCTTGTAAATAAACTTAAACAATGTAATTACGCTAAATTATTTATTAAAAAGAATACTACACTTACAGTCATTTATCGATTAATTATTGTAAATCTATATGCATGACAAATATTTTTAAATTTTTTATTGTTATTTGTAACAGTGCATTTTTGTTCTTATTTTGATATCTTATTTAAAAAGGTTGAGTACAAATTCAATAATGGGAATTCACATATTTTTCTTCCTATATCAAATCTTCTTTCTAACGTTTTCAAGCCACATTGGGGTTGTTAAATTTGTTCATGTGGCATGTGTTACTAATCCAATACGTTATCAGACTTATTGTAATATTACAAAATATAATTACTGTCCTTAAATTTCACACAAAAACAGCCACAACTATTTTGCTTAGTTCATATAGAGGATAACACAATCATGAACTCAAAATTTTAAATTTAAATTCAGGATTCTTCGATATACATAAAACTGACATTTATTTTTACAAACTGTCCACTGCTGTCCACGTCTACTGTCTGTCTCAGTGTTGCCAACCGTACGATTTAAATCGTATTTATACGATTTAACTCTCTGTACGATGGCGATGTTCGATTGCATCAGTGAGATCGTATGTAAAAATACGATCTTCACTTTTTTAGTAGGTTTATTTAAATATCTGCAACAACTTCAGAACATAAAACAATAAAAATCAAAAACTACTTGCAAAGATTCATAGGCCGTTCGTAATTTTTTATCGTGATTTTGACCATGGTAATTTTGTACACCGGACTATCACGGCATAAGAAAAGCTTGCATTCAAAATTTTAATCAGTTTCAAGTGATTTTCATTGATTAGGTACTTATGTTAATTTAAAGTTTCATGTATTTTCTTTAGTTTTTTTTGCGTTGTAAACATAAATAAATTATCATGCCAGTTTTTTTTATTTTTTCATTCCATTTTTTTGTCGAAATACTATTTTTCTACTCGTACGATCTCTCAAAAAAAATATTTGACAACACTGGTCTCTCTACAAACGACGTAGATCTGTAGTTAACATCTGAGACGCTAGATGACGCCATCGTTGCTGGGGTCGTTGCGTTTCCAATCTTTATGTCCCTAATCTCTGTGCAAAACTTTATAGCGTTTTCCATTAAAATGTTCATTGCGATCTGAGTGTACTTTTTACTTTCTTCTTTTCCATATCAAAAAACAAGGACACAAATATACTCAGTGCGTATCGCCAGTGCCAATGAAAAACGCCATTAGATTAGGAATTCTTTTTATATTTATGTTATATTTGTATTAACAAAATTAAGAGTTTCTTTTTATTTATGTTTATTTGTATTAATAATTATTGTAGGTCCTCTTTTTACCCATGAGTTTTTTATGTAAAAAAATATGGAGTTTGTTTTTTATTTATCAGTTATTGTAAAATAATTTGTGGTTAATTTATTAATAAAAAAAATAACAACAACTGTTTTTTTTGCTGGATCGGCGTTTTGACGATTTAACTGACTTCCCGCGCCGGTCCAAGGGGTTCCATCCACCCCTGGGTGGGAGTGAAGTAGGGGCGAGGAGAAGGATGTTGGGCAGTTTGAAATCGTTTCAGGCGGGGCCTATGGCACCACTTTTAGTTTTTTTATCCCTTACCATTTATGCGTGACAGAAAAAGAAGAAGAGGGGGGGAAGTATTTTTTTCGTTTTTCGCAAACCATTATCCATCATTGTAATATTTTACATGTCGGTTCGAAATTAAAAGGTTCTCATGTGCGCTATAGGCTAATTTTATTAAGTCATCAATCATAATTCATAATATTGTGGATCAATGAATTTCATTTATCGAAGGTTTGAAAAAAAAATTCTACTTCCAATTTTTTTATTAATAAGACTAGCTTGTCATTAGCTACACAAGACAAAAAAAAAGAAAATCGGTTCACAAACAGAAGGGACAATATTTTGTCTTTGCCTATTTATGTATAGAAATAAGGAGGATTGTTAAAATATAAATCGATTTTATCCTTATTTCATTTATCATCACTGACCTGTCAAAACCAAAATAAATAAATAACTTATATGCAAAAAAATAAAAAATATATAAAATAGGTATAATGAATTTTGATCACTTACTGTAGAAATTTGACAAACAAGGTAAATCAGTCAATGTACAGTAATTATAATCATCTACAGGTTGGGAAAAGGGAATACATTGGCATAACATTTTCATTGCATGCATTTTACATGATGCCAAACAATCGCTGTGCCTGTAATTTCCAAAATCGGTATGAAGCTCGTCGTGGAAAATACATTTTCTCTTAAAAAAAAGGAAAAGAAGAAAAATTTACTTCAGCATCATGATAATTTATCAAATAATTCACGGATTGATTAAAAATACTAAGTATAGGTCGATACATAGTCGGTACTAAAATTATCATTTAATATACCTACAATAAAAACCAGAAAGTCCCAAGAATCTTACTACAGATAACAAATCCAGATTACTGGGTTTACCCGATGGATCACGTGGATCACTGAACTTTGTGCCGACAGTTTACGAACAAACCCACTGGTAGCCATTCAGTTTGGAATGCCTGGAATGCCTAATTAGTTTCCGAACACGGATAGGGTTAGTAACCATAGGTAAACGCGCTGGAGCAGATTAGGCGTTTTCGAAAACTTACTCGGACCAGAAAGATTATGGATCCTATTCTTCGTTTACCTATGGTTACTAACCCTATCCGTGTTTGGAAGCTAGTAGATTACTGATCCAGCTTTATGATCGAGATCAATATTTTGTAACCCACTCTACGAGTAGATTAGTAATAGATCCGCAAGCGCACCACAGGATTTTATAAAGGGATAACGCAATTTTTTCATTTTTTTCATTTTTTTTTTCATTTCACGTTAAGCCGAAGTAGAACTTATGTTTAAAATTTAATGTTTTTTCCTTTATATGTTTTTGAGTTTTCTTCAAAATTCGAAATTTACACATTTTCTTAAATATCTCGAATACGGTCCATTTTAGAAAAAATATGTATAGGATAAAAATTATAGAGAATTATGGGTGTCTGTAAAAGGTCTTTACAAAAACATACCACATATTCCTTAGACCAAAATAAGTCGATTTAAGTAAAATTACCTTAGTACAAAGTTTGAGTTTGAGTATGAAATTTAGATTGCGCAACTCATTTACTTTAAAAAAGGTACTCTTGATAAGACTCGATTACTCTCATGGTTTTGACGAAATTTGCATTTTAGTAATTTTAGAACATGAACAATAATTATTAAAATACAAACTTTGTCAAAACCATGAGAGTAAATCGAGTGTTATCAAGGGTACTTTTTTGTAGTAAATGAGTACCCAATCCAAATTTCATACTCAAACCCCTTTTTTGCCATTGGCGTAGAATTTTTAAAGGTGCAATTATTTAAAAAATCAAGTTCTACGCCTATGTATTATTATCGGACAAAATTTTATACGATGAAAAACATAAAAATGTACTTTTTTCATATCTTCTTCAACACCTCTAATCGAGACTTTTAACAAAAATACTCGATTCTTGCCGTGTACGATTTTTTGAGGAATATTAATTATTTGCCTGCAATACGTATACAAAAAAATTTATTGTTGGTTTCCATAGTTTTATCTAAATAAAAATATTGTCAAGTTTTAACACCTAATCTCTTGTTAACGATTGAATAATTAAAAAACAAATGCGTGGTTTATTAATATGGCTTTACAATATACCAATGCAGATTATACCGATATGTTACTGACATTAGGATTTTGTGAAGGAAATGCTCGAGAGAATGTCAGGGTGTACTCTGAAAGGTTTCCAAATCGTCGTGTACCTAGCCACCCAACTTTTGCTGCTGTTGAGAGTCGTCTTCGGGAGACCGGTTCCTTTGCTCCCAACACTGTTGATAATGGAAGAGAACGTTTTGTAAGGATTCCTGAAGTTGAAGAAGACATTTAAGAACGTGTTGAAGTAGATCCAGAATTAAGCACCAGACGAATTGGAAGGGAACTAGGAGTAAGTAAAGATGTCGTTCATAAAGTGCTTAGAGAACAATTGCTATATCCATACCATAAGAAGCCATACAAGAATTATTAGTCCATGATCCTCAAATTCGTTTGGGTTTTTGTCGATTTGTTAATATGCAAAGAGAAAGAGATCCAAACTTTGTCAAGAAGGTTCTCTTTACCGATGAAGCGGGTTTTACAAGAAGAGGTATAACAAATACCCATAATGAACATGTTTATGACGATGAAAATCCGCATGCAATAAAGGTAAACCATTTTCAGCACGAATTCAAAATTAATGTGTGGGCTGGAATAATTGGTAATTTCATTGTTGGTCCTGTCATACTTCCACGAAGATTAACTGGAGAAAATTATTTGGATTTTCTACAAAATACGTTGCCAGAATTGTTAGAAGATTTACCTCTCCAACTTCGGAGAGATATGTGGTTTATGCAAGATGGAGCTCCACCACATTTTTCTTTAAACGTTAGAAATCACTTGAATGAACAATATCCACACAAATGGATAGGCAGAGGTAATGACGCACCTGTAAACTGGCCACCACGTTCTCCAGACCTAACACCGATGTATTACTTTTTATGGGGACATCTGAAATCCAAAGTTTACAGGGAACCTGTAGAAAATGAGGAACAACTCTGGTAACGTATTCAAGATGCAATAAACAATCTTAGAGATGATGAAGAAGTTATGGAAAGGATACATTTTAATTTTCTTCGACGTATAAATCTTTGTATGCGTGAAAATGGTGAACATTTTGAACAATTTTTGTAAAATCTCTATTTTGATTATGTTGTAAATAAATATTTTTGTGAAACCTATACACTCTAAATTATTAAAACAGAAATTTAGCGAAAACCATGAGAATAATCGAGTCTTATCAAGAGTACCTTTTTTAAAGTAAATGAGTTGCGCAATCTAAATTTTATACTCAAACTCCTTTTCCTCCATTGGCGTAGAATTTTTAAAGGTGTCATTATTTAAAAAATCAAGTTCTACGCCTATGTATTATTATCGGACAAAATTTTAATACCATTTTTTTGCCACATAAAACTCTACCAATATACCAAATTTCAGCAAAATCGCATATGCCGTTTTAAATTTATATGGGAAAAACGATTTAAAAATTGTAACTTCAAGGCCTTCTGGAGTCCAAACGAAGCAACTTTGTACTAAGGTAATTTTACTTAAATCGACTTATTTTGGTCTAAGGAATATGTGGTATGTTTTTGTAAAGACCTTTTACAGACACCCTACCCTGTATTACAAACAACTTTTATTTGAACAATTTTTTGAAAAGATATTTTTTTGCATTTTGTCAAATTTTTCAAATACGGACCATTTTAGGACAATTTGGTATAGAACATGATAAGAATATTGTAAGTAACTTTTATTTGAAGAATTTTCTTCTTCAAACGTAAATAACAGATATATTCCATAAAATATAAAAATGACTACCAATAAAGTACCCCCCAAGATGTTCCGACTCTGCCCAAAATCTAATCAGTTCATTGGACGCCGGAACAAAGCTTAAGTTGTTTAAAATTTGGTGTTTTTCTTTGTATCGGTTCATGAGTTATGGTGGATACAGACACACACACATAATTCCGAAAATAGTCAAAACGAATTCAGGGGACCCCAAAACATAAAAATCCGTCGAAAACTGGAGGTCGAAAAAAATCATGATTCCTATACTTTTCTTATCTTCTGTATACAGATAGGAAAGTAAAAAACTCCTTTAGTTCTTTTCGTGCGCTGTGATGATAAGGAATCATTATGAATTAAAGAAAATATTAGTCAATAAAATTTATATTTGTGTAAATAATAAAAAAATATCATCATGTAGGTACAGCAAATTTAATTTGAGTAGAAAATGTAAACAAAATATAAGTCAGTCATATCCGGGGAGACAGAAAAACAGATAGATAACCAGGTTGGTTAAAAAATGATCTGATATAAGACAATTTGATAATTAAAATGTCAGAACTTTGATAAACGTCAGGTTGCAACAATTTTTAAAATGAAGTTAATTGTAAACGGGAAGTTTAATTTAATTATTTGTATGTTAAAGGAGAATGGGCAATTTTGCCCCACCTCCCAATAGGAGTAAGATATATGCCAGATAAAAGATATCGGTAAGAAGAACATTTGTTTTTATTATGACTTCTCTCAATTGTCTGTCCGTTCCGACTTATACAGTGTGTCTACTTAAGTTGAAACCATATGGAAATTTTTTTTAATATTGGTTTTCTGAAAAAAAGTATTGTTGATAAAAAGTTCTTCTTGATCCAAAATTTAAAATACAATTATTAGATATCAATATTTTTAAGCCGTATACGGGGTTTGGGGTTTGTCAAAACATATGAATTTTACTTAAGAGTAAAGTACTTTATTTTTTAAAATACAGAAGAATGTTATAAAGTAAAGTTATTTAAAATTAAAAGTTATATCCAAATATGCAAATACAGTCATTTAGCATAAAAATTCAGGTTAGGTGATTATTTACGTTTTAAATTATAAATTATTTGTAGCTATAAATAAATAATCACCAAACCTGAATTTTAAAGCTAAATGGGTATAATTCCATATTTTTAATTCAAAATACCTTTATTTTATAACATTCTCCTGTAGTGTAAAAAATAAAAGGTACTTTACTCTTGAGTAAAATTCATATTTTTTGACAAACCTCGTATACGGCTTAAAAAAATTGATATATGATGGTTGCATTTTAAGTTTTGGACCATGTAACTTTTCATCACATAATTTTTTTCATAAAATCAATAATAAAAAAGTTTCCCATACTTAAGTAGAAATAACACTGTATGTGACAAAATACCCAAATCTCGTGATGAAGAAATGCGAAGTTGCCAAGTTATAGATGATTTAATTTTCATTTTAGTTTAGTTAAAACCAGTTGTGGAGAAACGTTGCCATGGGAACGTTTGTCATGGTAATGACTAAACAAAAATCCAAATCCCGTGGTGAGGAAATGCGTAGTTACCAAGTTGTATTATTATTAACACGCTAACAGCTAAACTAAATTTAGCTGTAATTAGTTATGGGGAAACTGTTGCCATAGGGACGCTTGTTATGGTAACGACTAAACAAAAACCCAAATTATGTGGTGAGGAAACGCGTAATTATCAAGTTATAGATGATTTAATTTAGATTAAATCAGTTAAGGACAAACTATTGCCATAGGGAGACTTATCATGGTAACGACAACAAAAAACCAAATTCAGTGATATGGAAATGCATAGTTGCCAACTTAT